TTTTGATTAATATGTAATATAGTAGGTGGCTGGGTAATTTTTGCCAAAAACATGTTTTCCATACAATTAATTGACTGATTTTGAACGCAAATCCAAACAGGCACATTAACTTTTTTGCCTATCTATTATAGTTGTTGTGCCTTATTTATTTTGAAGCTTCATCCACTACATACTCAAGAATTATGATTTAACATCTTGCATGTATTTCTTGCTTGCTACGTACTTATTTTTTTAATACAACTTAGCATAATTTTAACAATTCAATATAAGAAATAACCGTGCTTATATATACGTTAGTCACATTGACGTCTTTAAGATTATATCTAAAATTATAGGGATTAACATTATAAGCATACTCTCTCTTATCCTTATTATAAGATACTTTCAGCTATTTCTTACATATTAAAAAAGTTAATTTTTTTTCTTAATATCATAAAAAAATGAGATTTGTTTTTATTTTTACCATTGACTTTAAATAATAATGCAACTATATTAAATATCTTCACACTAATCAAGAAAGGATAGAATTAAAAAAAGTAATTCAAATATTACAAGGTGTTTTATATTTTGGATTAAAAATTAATTTTAAAAGGTGTTTTATAAATAAAATTGAAAGGAGTATATAACTTGTATAGGTGTCGATTATAAATAGTCCGACCCTAAAAAGTCAACCTTTGAAGGGCTAGGACCTAAACAAGTTAGCCCTATAAAGCCTAATTATATTTCAAGACTCTATTTTGGTCAGCCCAGCCCTGGCCCTATGTAAATATATTTTTTAATTTAAAAATCTAAAAAATATATATTTAAAATTCAAAAAAAGTTATTATGCATAACATTAAATATATAAAACAAATTTAAATCTCATAAAAAATAAATCATCAAATCAACACTGATAACATTAGACTTTACTACTATTATCAGTGAAATGTTGATGGTTTTCATTGTCGTTAACATTAATATAATTTTATCCTTCTCTTTGTGGAGCCTTGACAATGGTAAAACTATTAAGCTTTTTATATATTCCTTTTTCATCCCTTTAAAATGATGCTAGGGTTTTAAAATTAATATAGTATTTAATTTTTAATATTAGTTTTTTTTTTTAAATTATAAAAGGTCTTAAAAGGGCCGGCCCTTTTATTTTAGAGCTTACAATAACCAGCCTTTTTAAGTTTGAATTATCATTTTACATTCTAAAGTAGAGGCTCTATTCTAAATTTTTTCAGACTTAAAAGGATCGATCTAACAGTCTCAATCATAATTGACGATTTTAATAACTTGAGAGACCTATAGAGGAAAAAAGCTATAGCAACTAACACTAAAAAAAGTAAAGGGTGTGTTTGTATTTTAGTTTGGTATAACTGATTATAGAAAAATTGATCAATGTGATTGATTTGGAATTAAAAAGCAAAATTGAAAAGCAGAATTAAAAATAAGGTAAAACCATAGTTGTGTAGAAATATATCCAAACACTCATGTTACATATTAAAATCAATTATGAATCTAAAACCATATTTAAAAAAAAAATCAAACACCCATTGTACATGCTAAAATCAATTACAAACTCAAAACTGTAATTTTCTTAAAAATATTCAAACACCTCCATATACGCCAAAATTAATTATGAAACTCAAATCACAGTTATTTTATAATCTACTACCACCTATTTTTCAATTCAATTTTTCAATTATACATTTTTAAAAATTTATTCAAAAATCATATAAATTATTGGGAAAACATATTTCAAGGACTACTGTACCATATTTATATCATACAAGGACCAAATAATTTTATATTCTCACTGTAATCCTTTGGTCCTTCTGACATATTAATTTCATAGGCAAACAGACCAAAATGCCCTTCATAGTTAAAAAACAAAAAAAAAGAAACTCCACTGTCACTAATCGTCAGACCACTGTAGGCGATAAAGGTCGCTGGAGTCTCTATTGCCGGCAAGGTCGTTAGAGATTGGTCACCGGAGCTCTGGCATCGACAACATTTTATTTTAGAATTGAGATTTTTAGGTGGCCAAGGGTAGGTTTGATCTCATAACCCTTCACCACCTAAAAAGCTTAGTGGCCACTAAGCCACCAAGCCTTTTAATATATATATATATATATATATATAACAAAAAAAATTATAAGTAGTAAACCAAATACAAAATCACTTCCATATAATAACTTAATGTGTGTTGTTAATTTCTGAACGGAACTTATTATTTTACAAATGTCACTTGTTAATCTGATATGGACAATTATAAATTGGAGGTTTCAAAACTTTACTCATTTTACTTGTTAAATGTCCCAATGTATTATTGTCAATCACGAATAGGTTGTTATCAACACCAAATGGATACTTGTCAGTAAATGACTAATACATATTAACCTTGCCTATTAATTTTTCTAACAAGTATCCATTTGGCTTTGAAAACAATCTATTCATAATTGATAACGACACATTAAGACGTTTAACAAGCAAAATGAGTGAAGTTTTGAAACCTCCAATTTGTAATTGTCCATATCAGATTAATAAGTGACGTTTGTAAAATAACATCAATTTATTTAAAATTAACAATAATATATTTTGGTTGTAACAAGGTAGAAAAAATTATAGGAAGGATTTAGTTGTGCGTGTTAATTATTTATTGACAAATATTCATTTGATTTTGACAATAACCTATTCATGATGACAACAACACATTGGGATATTTAACAAGTAAAATGAGTGAAATTTTAAAGCCCTCAATTTGTAATTGTCTATGTCAGATTAACAAGTGATATTTATAAAATAATAACAATTCATTTAAAATTAATAAGAATCTATTATGGTTTTAACAAGTTAAAAAAAATGATAAGAAGGGTTTAGTTATGCGTGTGCATGTCAGTCATTTACTAACAAATATCCGTTTGATTTCGACAACAATCTATTCGTGATTAATAACAATACATTGGGATATTTGACAAGTAAAATGAGTGAAGTTTTAAAACCTTCAATTTGTAATTGTCCATATTAAATTAACAAATGACATTTGTAAAATAACTAATTCCGTTTAGAAATTAACAATGCACATTAGGTTATTACATAAAAGTGATTTTGTGCTTGGTTTACTATTTACAATTTTTTTGTCATATATTAAAGGGCTTAGTGGCCTAGTGGCTATTAAGCTTTTTAGATGGTCAAGAGTCATGAAATCGAACCCACTCTTGGCCACCTTAAAAATCTTAGTTTTGAAATAAAATGTCACCAGCATCGAAGCTTTGGTGACCTTATTGTTGGTGGTGGTTTGACAGTCGGTGTTGGCGACGGTGGGGGTTTCTATTTTTTTCAACTGAGGGGCATTTTGATCTTTTTGCCTAAAATTAATATGTTAGAAAGACCAGAGGGTTGCAGTGAGAATATGAAATTATTTGATCCTTGTGTGATATAAATATTGTACGGTGGTCCTTAGATACTATTTTTTCTAAATTATTTTCCAAATCATATTTTTTGGTTCACAATTGATTTTGACATTATAAGAAGTGTTTGGATATTTTTAATAAAACCATAATTTTAGATTCAAAATTTCAGCATATATAATAGGTGTTTGGATATTATAATTTTAGATTCATAATTAATTTTAATATATAACATATGTGTTTGGATAATTTTGTCAAAACATGATTTTTGTATTATTAATTGATTTTGAACGCAAATCCAAACAGGAACATTAAATTTTTTGCCTATCTATTCTAGTTGTCGTGCCTTTTTTATTTTCAAGCTTATCCACTGCACACTTAAGAATTATGATTTAAATCTTGCATGTATTTTTGGCTTGCTACGTACTTATTTTCTTAACACAACTTAGCATAATTTTAACAATTCAATACTTAGCATAATTTTAACAATTCAATATAAGAAATAACCATGCTTATATATATACATTAGTCATGGTTAAGTTGTTAAGGTCATATGTAAAATTATAGGGACTTACATTATAAACATATATAACTTGGGAAACCTGTAGGGGAAAAAACTATAGCAACTATCACCAAAAGAAAGTAAAAATTGTATTTCCTTGCCCCTTAAATCTTATTTTTTTTTATTACAAGGCCACTGCGAATCATGTAAAGGGACTGTGGTGTAGTTATGTTTAAGACCATAAAATTTCTATGGTCAAGGTGGGGAACATTAAATATTATAATATTAAAAGTATCATGTGGTGACCAGTTGGTTAAGAGATTGACATATATCTATTTACTTTTTTATAAATGTAATTAAAAGTGATTATTCAAACTCTCATAGTTAATTTTTTTAATTTTTTTGATAATGCTAGATAATGGATATTTTTAGGTCAGTGCAGTTAATAAACGACAATGCCTCTATTGAATTAAAGTGATCGCTGAGTTTGGGTAATTTTGTATTTCAATAAAGGTTGAGAATTTCAAAAAATTTGCATGAACCTTAAATTTGTTAGATTATGTGTAATGATCTAAAAAAGAAAGGATACAATGACCATTTAGGGTGGGAGGAAATTGAGGGCGTCCCAGTGAAGCGACTGCGTCCAAACCAAATCAGGAGGACAAAGACCGGGAAAGGCGCAGCAAAATCATAACAAATTTGAAAGGTTGTCAGTGAGTGTGACCTCGTGGCCATTCTAGAGACCCCAAACTGGGAGACGGATCACTCGCTGACGGCGACGACGACGACGACGAGCTCTCCTGCTCTGCCGTGCTTTTTTTAACTTTTTATTTTCTTGCTTGCTTTGCTGCAATATAAAGTCGCCACGACAATCAGTCTTCCAAAGCTACACTCAACTGCCATCCACCAACAAAGTAAAAGCAAAAGAGAGCGAAATTTCATAAAGTCTTTGACGCCATCCCGCGTGCGTGTCTGTGCGACGATTCTATGCCCTCTCCCCTGGAATCGCACCACCACCAACAGCCCTAACCCCTCAAATCCTATCAAATCAAAAGCCCTTCTTATAATAATCAATAATTACCACGAATATCCCCAAATAGCCCCCCCACCCCCCACCCCCACTCACACTAATCTCTCTATCTTTTGACAGTGATATCTGTCGCCTTCAATTGGGGACTTTCCGCCACTACAATTTTTTGTCCTCTCCCTTGTCTCTGTTCCCTATTGGGTTATAAAAATTGGGGTATTTGGGTATGAATCAAATTTCTGGGACAAAGGACCCAGAGGACGGGCCCGTGGCTCAGTCTCAGTCGCAGTCTCTGCCTCAACCTGAGCTCCAGGAGGTTACCAAGGGTTTGGACAAGACTGAATCGGTGGGTGGGGAAGAGGAGGCCGTGCTGGAGGAGAAACCAGTGGGCGATCCAATGGAGGAAGATCCAGTGAGTTCTGCTACTGTTTTCTGCATCAAGCTGAAGCAACCTAGGTCTAATTTGCAGCACAAGATGAGTGTGCCGGAACTTTGTCGCAATTTCAGGTATGAACGGTGCAAAATAGTAAGGATTCTAGTTCAATTTCGTGCATGCGTTTGATGGGTAATTCTGAACTTCTATCACCTGTCAATATTAAATTTTTCGTGATATAGGTTTCTTCTGGCTTCCTCCCTCCTGTGTAGCTAGACATTTCCAGTGAAGTGCATCTATTTATTTATTAAATATTAAATATAGAGAAAATTGAGCAAAACGCTTGAGTTGTAATTCATAAATATGCACTAACCAAACGCGTGAAATGGAAATCCTGATGATGAATTCTTCATGGAGCTGCTTTCAGTCATAGAAAAGTGAAGTGCATCCATTTATTTATTAAATATTAAATATAGAGAAAATTGAGATACGCTTGAGTTGTAATTCATAAATATGCCCTACACCAAACATGTGTGAAATGGAAATCCTGATGATGAATTCTTCATGGAGCTGCTTTCAGTCATAGAAAAGTGTGCAAGCTTAAAAAGTCCTTAGATGGGATAGAACAATCATGAAGGGCTAGGTTAGTTGATTGGCTCACAAAGGCAATAAAGAAGTAGTGATGCATCCAAGGACAGTCCAATCACACTTTGTTTTGTCCATTCACATGATTGACAGATAATTATTCTGATTGTGAACGTGGATGGCATTTTACTAACTTGCGGTGTCCTGAAAAAACGGAGTTGAAGAGTGTCCTTTAAATAGGCGTTCAAAATTTAAGACCCCGGGCAATTCTTAGGTATGGAATAATGGAAGCGGCAATCAGCAAGAGAGTTATCCTAGTTTCCCTAAGAAAGTGCACTCCATTGAATTAACAGGAATTCTAGTTGCAAACTTGCCAAGAGATATAGATCTTAACCTGAAAATGAAAAAAGGTGGTGGATGAAGTTCTAATAGACAGTGGAAGATCACAGTTATAACTGGGGAAAAGATGTACTTATCCCACAAAAGACTAGATATATCTTTTTTAGCAGATCTGGTGAGTTTGTTTTTGCACTCTCAGATAGAAGAAGTGAAGAACACCTGAATGTAGTGTGTCAAATTTTATTGGGGGGATGAGCTAATGAGTATGGAGGCTTTTATTTATGCAAATTGGTTAGGTTTAGTTCTACATTGGGCTATTGTTTTTGTAAAAATGGTTTGAGAGAACGTAGCTACATTCAGAAGTAGAATTTAAAGCACTTGTTCGAGGAATTTTGGAGCTAATGTTGGAAAGGCCGGTGGAAGAACTTGAAATGTTAGATTTATGTCTCTTGAAGCTTTACGTGACACTAAGGTAGCAAAAGGTATTGCTCAGGACCTGGTTCATCATGATTGGACCAACCATGTTGAGGCTGACTGATGTGTCTTCAAATAAAGGATAGAAGATGAGGCAATGTTTATGACACATGTCTGCCTGCAAAACAGTGAGTGGCAGATATACTATGTAACGGGATGCCTCAACCAAGAGTTTCAAGTGGTGGTTGATAAGTTGGGAATGACTAACATCTATTTGTGAGTTTGATGCGGAGATTTGCCAACCTATCCCGTTAATTTTCACATTCCTCTTATTTATTGGAATTATTTCAGGGATTTTTATTTCCTTTTCTAGCTTGATTTAGTTTCAGGTAGTTCCTTGTCTTTTGTGATTTTTTAATGCGTAGTGTCTCTGTTTTAGTTATTTTATTTTACATCAGATATTTTTAGTTTTTCTTGTATTGTATTCCTTGATATCATGGGATTTTTTTTGGTAATTATTAGCATTTTATTATCTTTTATTTTCCTTTGATTTGCTTCTATTACTATTTGTTCAGATTTGGCTAGATTATGGTTATCCCCTTCATCTATATACTGATGTTCCAGGATTGAGTTATTGAATACTCCCTCTGTTGCTTTTTATAAGACAAAATTACCTAACTTACGCATATTGATAAAACAGTTTTAACTAATTTATGTCTTATTTTTTTCCATCTTTCCACTTCTGCCCTTAATTAATTTTCATAATTTTCTTAACTTCAGGTGGGCCAAGTCCTTTTATTCATTGATTAAGGTAATTCTAGGGAAATAAATATTAATTTTTTCCTAAAATTTTGTAAGTTTTCATATATATATATATATATATATAGGAACACCACGCCCTCTAAAAATTTGTTTTATGAAAAGGAATGAAGGAAGTATGTATGTGAGAATGAGAACACTACTTTCTGGAGCTTGTTCATATTTCTTCTGTACTTTGGAATTTATTAGGAGAGAAGAAACAGTAGGATAGTTTGTTGTCATGCCTGAGTGAAACTGAATGGATGAACACATGGATTTTATCTCTCAATGATGCCTTAGAATTTAGATATTATAAAGCGTCCTTAGATTATGTACAATCTATTGGTGTGCAATTTTAAAAATTTCTGTTTGTATGTTGATGACTTTGTTGATTTTTTTTCTCTTTTGTATAGCTTTAAGCTTTCTATGCTAGTGTGTCTTCTGCTGTCATATTGTTGAACAAATTTATCCTCTTTTTTGGGTGTCTGTTTTTCCCCCAGTGCTGTTTCCTGGTGTGCAAAACTAAATGCTATAGCGTGTGCTGCTGAAACATGCGCCAGAATCCCAAGGTTAGTGTCTCAATCTGGTTATATTACCTGCCTGAAAATCTGTGAGTGGGTATTAGTTGTTTCATTAAGTGAGAGAGTTTCCGTTTGGACAAATGATGACAAATGTCAAATTAAAGAGCAAAAGAACTGCTTAGAGTGAGAAATTTTTTTGTAGGTCCGTCGGACTTATTTTGAAACAGGCATGTCCATGCATTAAATAAGTTGAGCCTAATTATCAACAAACAACAACAACAACAAGCCTTTATCCCACTAGGTGGGGTCGGCTACATGGATTGCAAGACGCCATTGTGCTCTATCATTTATCAAGTTTTTAGGAATATTATTAATTAACAGATCGCGTTCAATAACTTCCAAAATGTTCTCTTAAGCCTTCCTCTACTTCTCTTAATCGGACTTAAAGTTATATGTTCCACTCTTCTCACTGGTGCCTCCCTTGGTCTTCTTTGTACATGCCCAAACCATCTCAACCGATTTTCTACCATTTTTTCCTCAATAGGTGCCACCCTCACTTTTTCGCCTACGTGCTCATTTCGAATTTTATCTTTATGTGTATGTCCGCACATCCATTGTAACATTCTCATCTCTGCCACTCCAACTTTATGCTCTTGTTGTCCCGTTAGAGCCCAGCATTCACTACTATATAACATTGCCGGTCTGATAGCAGTGCGATAAAACTTTCCTTTAAGTTTATCAGGCACCTTACGATTGCAAATAACTCCTTTAGCTTTTCTCCAATTAAATCACCCAACTTGAATTCTATGTGAAATATCTCCACTGATTTCACCATCATTTTGAATAATGGCTCCCAAATATCTAAACTTTTCCACTTGAGGTATAATTTGATCTCCCAATTTCACTTCCAAATTATTGTCGAATAGTCCTTTACCAAATTTACAATATAAATATTCCGTCTTACTTCTACTCAGACGAAAACCTTTCGACTCCAATGTCCTCCTCCATAACTCAAGTTTGCAATTAACCTCTTCTCTTGTATCTGCTATAAGAACTATATCATCCGCGAAGAGCATACATTTCGAAATTTCTCCTTGAATATGTTCCGTCAAAACATTTAAGATCAAGTTGAACAGAAAAGGACTCAGAGATGATCCCTGATGTAGTCCAATCTTTATAGGAAAATCCTTTGTTTGACCACTAAGCGTTCTTATACTAGTTTTTACCCCCTCATACATTTCTTGTATGGCTTTAATATAAACAATTCGTACTCCCTTTTTTTCTAACGCTTTCCAAAGCACTTCTCTTGGTATACGGTCATAAGCTTTTTCCAAATCAATAAAAACCATGTGTAGATCTTTATCTTTACAACGATACTTTTCCATTAATCCCCTTAGTAGATAAATCGCCTCTGTAGTTGATCTACCTGGCATAAAACCAAACTGATTCTCAGAAATACTTGTCTCCAATCTCAACCTGTGCTCAATTACTTTCTCCCACAATTTCATTGTGTGGCTCATGAGCTTAATCCCTCTATAGTTAGTACAATTCTGAATATCTCTTTTATTTTTATAAATAGGAATTAATGTACTTCTCCTCCACTCATTAGGCATTTTCTTGGACCGTAAAATTACATCAAATAACTTAGTTAACCATCTCACCCCTTCTTCACCTAAACATTTTCACGCTTCGATAGATATACAATCAGGTCCGTTGGCTCTACCATTTGCCATTTTCTTAAGAGCTTCCTTTACCTCCTTATCACGTATTATTCGATAGAATGACAAATTTTGTTCTCCTTCACCAGTTACTAAATCGTCCAAGTTACTAGATGAACCCTCTCCATCATTGAAAAGTTTAGAAAAGTAAGTCTCTCATCTATTTTTAATTTCATCATCTGTAACTAAAGTTCTTCCCTCTTCATCCTTAATACACCTTACCTGTTCTAGATCTCTTGATTTTCTTTCCCTACTCTTGGCAATCTTATAAATATTTCGCTCTCCTTCTTCGTCTCAAGGCTCTTATAAAATTCTTCAAAAGCTTTAGAATGAGCTTCACCGACAGCTCTCTTAGTTTCCTTCTTAGCCATACGGTACCTCTTCCAATTTTCCTCATTGTTGCACAAATGTATGGCTTTAAAACAGTTCTTCTTATACTTGATTTTGTCCTGTACACTATTATTCCACCACCAAGACTCCTTATCTCTCGGACCAGAACCTTTTGATTCTCCCAAAACTACTTTTGCAACCTCCCGTATCTTTTTAGCCATATCCTCCCACATGATATTAGCACTTCCCTGAGATTCCCAAATTCCTTTATCCAAAAGATTTCGCTTGAAAATATCTTGCTTCTCACCTTTTAATTGCCACCACCTAATCCTTGGTGCTACTACTTGTCGACGTTTTTGGATTTTACTCATAATACACACATCAAGGACTAGGACCCTATGTTGTGTCGTTACAGCATCTCCGGGGATCACCTTGCAATTTTTACAAAGTCTTCTATCTGTGTTCCTAACCAAAAGAAAATCAATCTGTGACCTTGAGGCTCCACTTTTGTAAGTGATGAGATGCTCATCTCTTTTCTTGAAACAAGTGTTGGCAATCTTAAAATCATACGTCAATGAGAAATCAAGAAGAGTTTGTCCTTCATTGTTTAGCTCTCCAAAACCAAAACCACCATGCACCCTCGCATACTGACCAGCTTCCCTGCCGACATGCCCATTAAAGTCTCCTCCAATAAAAATCTTTTCACTCTGTGATATGTGTCGAATCAACCCCTCCAGATCCTCCCAAAATAATTCCTTAAGACTAGCTTCTGTCCCGACTTGCGGCGCATAAGCGCTAACAATATTAACAGTCTCACATCCAATTATCATTTTTAAAGAAATAATTCTATCTCCAATTCTGCTAACTTCTACAACGTTCTTCTTCCACTCCTTATCTATAATGATGCCTATTCCATTGCGTGCACTTGCTTTTCCTATATACCAAAGTTTGAAACCTTGAATATCCTTCGCTTCTTCTCCATGCCATTTTGTTTCTTGCAGGCAAAGGATATTGATTTTTCTTTGAATCATAACCCCGACAACTTCTACAGATTTACAATTCAATGTCCCAACATTCCAAGTACCAAATCTAATTTTGCTCTCATAGATGAACTTCTTTAGCCGCGTGCGTCCAGAATGACACGGTAGCCCTTGCTCATTTAACACTACATCCGGGTGCCGATGCAGCGGCTCTAACTCACTTATCACTGTACTCGAGCCATGCAGCGCGTTATTGAGCCTAATTATCAGCACGTATTAAATATTAAAAGTGCCTGTTGTTTTAATTTAAACTCATCTAATCGTTACAGAGGCTTGTATGATTTCTATCCCTGCTTGTGTTTTGTTTTCCAACACACTGGTTTGCTGACACTGCTTTATGATTGTTTTTGTTAGTAATTTTACGATGTCAATTTATTTATTTATTTGTTGTTATGTAGTTCAACTACAAACCCACCATTTTGGATCCCTATACATATTGTCATCCCAGAGAGGCCTACTGAATGTGCAGTGTTCAATGTCATAGCAGGTATATTGATGTCACTGCTTTCTTCACTAACTCTAGGTGTTTGCTTTTTGTTGTGCCTTGTGATGATGTTCTGATCTTATTCTTTGCTTGGTTATATGCAAAAGTTATGCTACTTAAATTCTTATTTTTCCATGTAAACATTGTACAAATCATGCTTGTTATAAATTACATACCACCTGGAATTTGCTGAGATAGAAAGATGTCAAACTGAGCATGAATAATAAATCGAAAAATTTGGAGCTGCATCAGAAAACGGTAATCTGTTGATATATTCCATCCTTCAACTATGAGAATGTTTGCTATTACTACTTGATGGGTAATCCCTCACTTGGGGATATCATTTGGAATTTTGGATGCTCAGTCACAATATGCTATTTTCAAATTTTGAATTATGGGAATGTGTTGTTTTTCCTTTGTTTATGTTAAAAACATGGATGCATGCTTTCATAACTGGGAATCTATTTCATATATATATATATATATATCTTTTATTCCTAGAAATTTGATAGGATGCTTGCTATACCTTTTGCAGATTCTCCCCGAGATTCTGTTCAGTTCATTGAATGGTCTCCTATTTGTTGTCCGCGTGCATTATTAATAGCTAATTTCCATGGGAGGGTGACCATTTGGACTCAACCATCTCAAGTAGGCATTGTTGATCTCATTCTTAAGGCTATATAAATGGATGATGCTTTGCAATTTTTTTGGCATGGTTTTCTTTGCAGTAGTTGTGTAATCACGTTGAACGAATAATTTCAGTTGTATAATCTGATTTAATTCCAATAATTTCGGTTATTAAGCAGCTATATTTATATATATATATATATATATTGTGTCAAATCATGTTACTTAATCTCATACTTGCTTCCATTGGCTGGTTGGTTTTTCCAAATCTTGATATTGAAGGACTTAATTGTACAATGTAGCTTTGTTGAGATGGAGCTTAATTTAATTGACTATGTCCATCTTTTTGTTGACCTTCTGTCCACTTTCTCTTTTTTCTTGCCTTCACCATTCCACAGCTTCACCTCAGTTTAATGTTAATTGCTGATTCTTATCAAGCTGGCTTATTCAATGTCCATTCAGGGTCCAGCTAATCTTGTGCATGATACTAGCTGCTGGTGGCGTGAGCATGAGTGGCGGCAGGATGTTGCAGTTGTTACAAAGTGGCTATCAGGGATGTCTCCGGTATGTAGTTAAAATCTCTTCTCTTGTGTGCCGATCTGATGCTTAAATGTTCTGAAGACTTGGAGACACAGTTGCGCATTTATTGTTTTCAGTTTTGTTTCTCGGTCCTAATTCTTCCTTTAAAAATTATTTGGATATCTAAGATAGTTGAACTGATAATTAGCCCCCACCCCCCTAAAAAAGGGTTGGTATGACTCAGCATGATCCTTCAGAAGAATATGTTCCATAAGATTGTTCAGCCAACTCTATATGGAGTTAGATCATATTTTTTTTTTTTTTTTGAGGTTAGGGCTTTCAAGTTGAAAGTATTTTTTTATATCAACTTTAGCATTTTTGGTGAGAGAAGGCAGGCTTTATTGCAGTCTCTTGGTTACAGCAAAATGCTCATATTATCAAGAATATTTCTCCGCATTTAGAATGATTTGGGACATTGTTGCTTATGTCTGGTGTCTGACCTGTGGTATTAGTGGAGTCTCCTTGATAGAAATGTTAACAAATTGGAAAGATTTATTTTGGTACTGCAACAATTTTTTCTTTGATGTGCTTTTTCATCTTTTGGAGGAGGATATCTTCTTTTATCCTGGATTCTTTAGCATCTGCATCTTATGTCAGGGAGATAAAGTCCAGTTTGAAATTTTCATTCTGTATTATGACGCATTCTCCTTTTAAAAGGTCTCCGCATTGACTTGAGTGGCTTTTAGGATTAAGTGTTGTTTATCCATAATTATTAGATTAAGTGTTTTTTATCCATAATTCAGTCCTTTGCTCTTTCATGCTATGCACGTGTGAATTTATTCTTATATTTCTCTCTTTTAAAGTTTATCCTATGTGTGGTGCTATTTTTGAAGAATCGGAATCCTTTCACTAATGCTCAGGTTTTTGTGTACGGATTTTGGGGAAAAAATAGATTGTTCTTTTTCTATTCCTGTATATTAAGGTATTGCTTTTATTAACTATGGTGCCTAGAAGCCTGTCTTATGTACCAATCTTTTAAACCTATGCCATGCACGTGGGGTGGCAATATTCTTCATTGTCTTTCTTAAAATTGGATATGGTTGTAGATATAACTTCTTATACAGGATTAATTGCAGTTAAGGTCTGCCAAGTCTTGCAAAGATCTATTTTTTGCCCCCACCCCACTAAAAAAAGCCCAGCACCTAAGTTGCCGTTGATCAGTTGATGAAACTGAGTTGTGCCCCAACATAACTGTCTGTGATAGTTTCACATCAGCAAAAAAGAGAGCCACTTAGAAAAGCAAATATCACATGATCTCCAAGTTAGCCAAGAAAAGGGTATCTCATCCCTTTAATTGAATCGTAGGCTTAATTTCATTAAGTTGAAAATCATGAGGGGCATTGCTGTAATTGAGGCTTCTGAATACCAAAATTGAACTATTATAAAACTACGGAACCAAAAATTTAATTAAACCATTTTTTATTTCTGATTCTGTTTGTTTGACTTAATTTTCTTTTTTCAGGATGTATTACTAATATGACAATTTCTGCTATTAATTACTTTTTTTATCTGAAATTAGTTTTGAAATATCAGTATAGGTGGCTTTCATCCAAATCGAGTGTTTCTGCCAATTTGACATCAACATTTGAAGAAAAATTTCTTTCACAGCAATCTCAAAGTTCAGGTTCTGTTTATGTTTTCTTTTCTTTAGCCTTGTTTCTTCCTGTAATTTTCCTTTCAGGTTTTACTTGCTGAAGAGAGGTGAAATGTTGTATTACATTTACATATGATATTGTAGAATCTTTTGATAGTTAGTTAAATGCTGGTAATGCAATATCTGGGAGGAATGATACCTTCTATTCTCTCGAGTTTTAGTACCTTCTATACTACTAAAAACAAAAATCAGAAGTGTAGCACAACTTTTTATTTTGAGATAGGCTTATGTATATTTGAAAATAGAGGGAGGTTCAAGAAATTTACTAAAGATTTTTTGGTGTCAAACCATATGGCAAAAAGTCATATCCCAACTTTATACATGTATACAAGTTTAAATTTTTAGCTATATTTTTGTTAACATTGTTATTCACTAATAAAATCTTTTGTGGAAAGTATGCATGCAATGCTCTTTGAGTTTTTGGGAATATTGCGCATAGAAGAGGGGAAGATTTGTTTTTAGATTGTTCTTTCCAATTTTAACTTGATAACTTCTATAATCTTTATGGTTTTAATCATGGTGGTGACAATCAATATCAATAGCATCAACAGAAAATGTAAAAACTCAAATAAGCCATGCTATTTATTAGCCGCTAATACAGTGCATTCAAGACTGCAATATGCAAGATCCATATCTGGTTTTGATGATGCCTGAAACCTGGACAGTACTGTCATCTCTTCTTTATATGTTTCCATAATTGCTTGTTCATTCATTTCATATGGCTCTCTTTTTGTTGGTTAATATTGCAGTTCTATGTATTTAATAGCAGTAAGCCCATGTATCTGATACATACGTTGTTTTGATTTCAGCTAGATGGCCCTATTTTCTTTGCGTCTGTTCCATTTTCTCATCAGGCTCTGTTCAACTTCATTGGTCCCAGTGGCCTCCTAGTCAGAATGGTGAGGCACCCAAATGGTTTTGCACCAGTAAAGGGCTCTTGGGTTGTGGGCCCAGTGGAATTATGGTTGCTGATGCTATCATAACAGACAGTGGTGCCATGCATGTGGCAGGCGTGCCTACTGTGAACCCATCCACCATTGTTGTTTGGGAGGTTACTCCTGGGCCCGGAAATGGCTTCCAAGTAACTCCAAAGACAAGTACTAGTAATGGTGTCCCCCCTTTTAGCCCACCTAGCTGGGCAGGTTTTGCACCTTTAGCTGCATATTTGTTTAGTTGGCAAGATTATCTGTTATCTGAAGCAAAGCAAGGGAAAAAACAAACAGATCAAAGCCTTGTTGATGCTGTGCCACTTCACTGCTCACCAGTTTCAAATTTTTCTGCATATGTTAGTCCTGAAGCTGCAGCTCAATCTGCTGCAACTACTACATGGGGTTCTGGCGTAACATCAGTGGCTTTTGATCCAACTCGTGGTGGTTCTGTGATAACTGTAGTGATAGTTGAGGGTATGTTCCTAATTCAAACCTAATTTATTTTCCTCTTTTTTTGTCCCAAGCACATTCAATTATTTTGGATTCGAGGGACCTCTGGCATATTTGACCCTGGTTAGGGCTGGGGAAAGTGCCATGTTTTTTGAGGGCTGTTGCTGCTGGCAAACAGAATTTGATTTTGTTCCTAAAGCTTGTGCTTCATCGATAATGCTATATTTCTTCATCATTTTATTTTTTAATGCTCCGTTTTCATTTTTTCCATTAATCCATTAATCCATTAATTTCTATAAATGTTGTAATTCACATCAATTTCAATAATATTCATTTTTATACTTTTTTTAATTGCTCCATATTTAAAACGAACTATGGAACTAAGGAACCCAATTTTTTCACAGGAAGCTCAATAATTTCTCTATCACCTTCACCATATTGGACTTTATGTTCTTATTGCTTGAAACAAGACTTCTTGAGATAATTTGCTCAAACTCTTTGTCACGGTTGATGAAATAAAGTTGCCCTTCACTAGGAGTTGCATCTATTTTGATGTAATAATCCGCAGTCTCTGTGGCTTTTGTCTGATTCTTATTTTTTCCTTACAGCTAGGATTCGTGTTGTAAACCTTAGAACCAGAAGTGTTTTTCTCTTCTGCCTCCTTGCTCTTTCTTGCTTTCCACTTATAGGTATTAATAATTCCATCTGCTCTATCAAAAGCCTAAATTGATTTGGTTACCTACATTTTGAAGAAAAGACTGTAAACCACTTGTTATCATTGGAACAGTGACAAGTTGTTATAAAAGACAAGGATTGTAAATGTTGTCTATTGAGAAGAGACATTAGAAGCTTAAAACCATGATTGATGGATCAGATAATGTTCATATCATGTTCCCTCTTCCCAATAGTGGTGCCTTGAATCTTGCAGTTTTCATCCTGGGGCAAGTTAATTTTCAAAAAAAGACTTGTTATTAAATAATATGTTGGAATGTTGAAGTACTCGTGTAATTATTTTTCCATCTGTCCATCTCTAAATTTTAGTGCTGTCTATGATGCATATTTTTTTGTCAGAATTTTTTGTGTTCTCGTCAGTGGAGTTAGTAAATTGGTGTATGGCTGTTTTATACAGGACAATACATGTCCCCTTACGACCCAGATGAAGGTCCATCAATTACAGGCTGGAGAGTACAGCGCTGGGAATCATCTTTTCAAAATGTTGTCCTTCATCCAATATTTGGAAACCCCACCTCCAGTATGGGTGGACAGCCACCTGTGCAAACTGTTTGGCAGTCTAAGGTGGACTTGAGCATACCACCCACAGATGATTTCAAAATTCATCAAGCAGCTGCTGCTGGACTGACTGGAGTTGTGCAAAAGGCATCTGAACCTGGTTTTGATAAGTCAAAAAGGGTCGGGTTTGATCCATCTGATCTTCCAAGTGATGTTAGAGCACTTTCTCGAGTTGTTTACTCTGCTCATGGTGGTGAAATTGCCATTGCTTTTCTTCATGGTGGAGTCCACATCTTTTCTGGCCCAAATTTTACACCTGTTGACAGTTATCAGATTAATGTTGGATCTGCAATTGCTGCTCCTGCTTTTTCTGCAACGAGCTGCTGTTCAGCTTCTGTTTGGCATGACACTAGCATGGACCGTACAATATTGAAAATAATCAGGGTTCTTCCTCCTGCTGTTCCAGTTAGTCAAGTGAAGGCCAACTCATCATCCTGGGAGCGTGCAATTGCTGAAAGGTGGTTTTCTAAATCCCCCAAACTGTGTGTAACCTGTTAAGTGGTTTGAAGTATCCCAGAATTTATTGCTTATCCCTTTTCTTTGTTTTTCTTTTTCCCAAGCAGCTCAGATGCTATATTTGTCACATATTTCAAAGATTTGCTTTGCTGTTCTGATATCTGTTGGGATAAGCAGGTTTTGGTGGAGCCTGATGGTTGGTGTTGATTGGTGGGATGCTGTGGGCTGCACACAGAGTGCTGCTGAGGACGGTATTGGTAAGTAGTTGCATGTTATTTGAGGATATAAAAGAGATGAGATGGGATGTCTAAGGGGCGATTTGGTTGACGCAAGACAAAGGGATTCCTTTACTCTAAAAAACTAGACATATAATATTTATTGTATAATTACATTTCCTGCACCATTGTTCAACAGAAATTGTGTCTTTTTATCCCATTTCTTTTTTCAGTACATTCTGTAGCAAAGACTTCTAAATTCTGATTTTTTTTTTGAGAGAAAGATAGTGCTAATATGTAGAGATGTTTGGCAATAGAATCCCTTGACATGAGCTAAAAAAAGCATGAATAGAAAATGTAGAATAAATGCATTCAAAATGAATAGAAGAGACAGATCCTGGAACCAGGAAAAGGAAGCAATCATGTTGACTCGATCCCATGGTTTCATGGATTGAATCCTTTAATCTGGGAATAAAGGCTGGTTTACGAACATAATTTTTGTTTAAAGATGAAGGACAATATTATTTATTTTGTGTTTTTTAAAAGATACTATTTTATTTAATGAGTGTATTATGTTAGACAACATGTGAAGTATTGGTTCTCTGAATCGGTGTGTAATTTTTTCTTTTGGTTTTTGTTTCAGTCTCACTGAACAGCGTTATTGCAGTCTTGGATGCAGATTTTCATTCACTTCCTACTACTGAGCATAGGCAACAGTATGGCCCTGTATGTTCCAGTGAATGAGTTATCTCTGATTTCTTTTTCTTCTGCGTGATGACCAATTGAACACCCTTAGCCCTAGGGATGTCTTATTCTTCTGCAACGTAATGCATCCAAAACTGCAACCTAACATAACCTCTGTTTATTGGTTGTCCTTGCTAAGTACCCAGTGGACAATAGAGAGCTTGTGATGCTTCGGTGCTCTGTAGTCAAAATTTCAATCTGATGCAAGTTTGATCTTCAATTAACATATGGTTTGTCCAACAGGAGCATATGGTGATATAGCTTTCACTTTAGTGGTTGTTATCTGTCTGAAGGTCCCCATGTTGCCTCCTTTGGCCTTGCGGTTTTCCATTCAGCAGTGTTTTTCCTTATATAAATATTTTGACATTGTTTTGCTGGATACCATTGTGGAAATTGTTATCCAGGGACTTCATGAGTTTTTGACTTGATTTTTCAACCTCAACATGTTGATATAAGAATACTCTGAATAGAATGACTAGCTTATCCAGGCATTTTGCTCTATTTATAATTACAAAATTTTAAGCATGTGAATTGTGTAACTAGTACAACCCATCCCACAAGTTGCAGTATAGAGATCTAGGAGAGCAGCTACTAAAAGACTTACTGCAGAATAAGAAACGTGCAAGAGAGGAGGAACAAATGATTGATCAGGTCATGCAAGATGTGGGGGAAATGGGATATATTCTAGACATTTAACTTGGGATATATTCTAGATATTTAACTTTCAATTACGACAGTAATGGGTTGGTAATTTAATTCCTTGGTTTATTAGAGAAAGAATGTTTAAGATTCTTGCACTTGCACTCTATTTAAATTCCCATCCTTTGTCTCTCTTTCTAGTATTCCCTTTCATTACGCTTATTTTAACCTAGCTGTCCCTTGCTCACTATCCTGACCCAACCTAACTTGCATTGTGTGTGCTGTGTCCATTAGCTGGGAGCTTTGTGCTATTTAAGTTCAAAGGTTTTAGCCCAAGTAATGAGGGCAATGTGTTCTGGCATTGCATGTGCTATGCTTTCCTCTGGGGTTTTGACTTGATTGTAATGATCAGAATTTTAAGGGGAAAACCTAATCCCAACTGTTTGGTTTTTGTGGGTTCTGCCATGAGGATAACATAGTTATTCTACCATTATTTATTCTACCATTATTTTTTGCTTAGTCTTTCTTTTGTATAAAAACCTTCATAAACAGATTAATGACATGACTTGCCATTTTTAGTTTCTTCTGTTGATTATTGTGTTTCTGCTAACTCATGTGCATGTCATTCTATGTTGCTGCTTTCTAGGCTTAAGATTCTTGGTTTTGTATGACTGCAGAGTCTAGACAGGATAAAATGTAGGCTACTGGAAGGAACAAATGCCCAAGAGGTCAGGGCCATGGTTTTGGATATGCAAGCTAGGTTGTTATTGGATATGCTTGGGAAAGGAATTGAATCAGCTTTGTTAAATCCTTCTGCTTTAGTGGCTGAACCATGGCAAGCATCTGGTGAGACATTATCCAACATTGATCCTGAAGCAATGGCTGTTGAGCCTGCACTTGTTCCGAGTATCCAAGTATGCCACGGTTACATTTATCAATGCATTCCTTTTTTTTTTTAATATATTGAGATACATTACAGTTCAATGTATAATTCTTTCTGCACAGTTATCTATCCTTTAGTCAATCATGGCATGTACCAATGGGCATGCAGTATGTGCAATGGGACATGGGAAACACTCATAAATTTGCATATGCTTACCTACTTTTCTGCATCTGCCCATATATTATCAAATGCTAAATTGTTACTCCCATGATCCTTTCATTGAGCTCATTTCCTCAATTTTGAAACATGATTCAATGTACTTTTACAGTTTGCAGTTTCTCAAGTTTTTACTTATGTGGCAGGCTTATGTTGACGCTGTTCTTGATCTTGCTTCACATTTTATTACACGTCTGCGGCGTTATGCAAGTTTCTGTCGTACATTGGCGAGTCATGCTGTGACTGCAGGCACTGGAAGTAACCGCAATATGGTTACTAGTCCTACCCAAAGTTCTCCTGCTCCTGCAACAAATCAGGGGCAAGTTCAGGGTCAGGGTCAGTACATGATATGCACTGGTCAAATAACCATTTTTTAAATCCTTCCTAGAGTAATAAATGTAAATGTTTGATGCATTTTAAGAGAACTATCAATTGGCCTGCCTTGAATTTCTCTTACCATCTTCACATTATTTCAAATTAAAATGAAGTCAATGTTTTCCAGGAGGTCAGAATGGGACCACCAGTTCTACTGGAAGCACTCAGATGCAAGCTTGGCTACAAGGGGCAATTTCAAAGATTGGTAGTAGCACTGATGGAGTGTCCAATCCACCTCCAAATCCCATCAGTGGTCCTTCATCGTTTATGCCCATTAGTATTAATACTGGAACATTTCCTGGAACACCTGCTGTAAGACTTATTGGGGACTGCCATTTCCTACACAGATTGTGCCAACTTTTGCTTTTCTGTTTTTTCTTTCGGAGAACACAACTTCCCCGCTATATGGGGGCTGCACATAGAACCGCTGATGCAAATATGCAGAAACCCCAAGCTAATGGTCCTGCTCCTGCCAAGGTAGAGGATGCTGCGAAGCCATTGTCAGGTGTAGTGAGGTCAGATGATAATCAAACAGGTCGTGCTGGTCAGCTAGTGCCTGGGACTAAAGGAGGTGAGGAAGCATCATCTGGGCGTTCACGATTGGGCACTGGAAATGCTGGTCAAGGCTATACATTTGAAGAGGTATAAATAGCTTAGTCTAACTATATTGATATACTTTTTTGCGTAAATGAGTGTGGAAATGTTCATACATCTTTTACTTTTTGAGGCCATGTCATATATGTATTTGTGTTGAAGCATAGCCAGGGATAATAGTGGTTCTCTGTTCTTGCTTTTGTTCCACTAGTACTCCCAGAATAAATGGAATATAGATATGTGGGGAGCGGGTTTCTGATGTAATCCCTAAAATTAGGACTGACCATACTAACTGGTCTAAATATTAGGATATAATTCAAACTATACACACAATATACAGGAATATAAATATGCCAACAATCTCCAAATATCACATTATTCACAGCAGCTCAGACTGTTGATTTTTCTTATTGATCTCATTTCATTGATACTGCAGGTGAAGGTGCTTTTCTTGATACTTATGGACCTCTGTCGCCGAACTGCTGGTTTGCAACACTCTTTACCAGTTTCTCAAGTGGGAAGTAGTAACATTCAGGTTCGGCTGCATTATATTGATGGGAACTATACTGTTCTGCCAGAGGTTGTTGAAGCATCCCTTGGGCCACATATGCAGGTAACCGCAATTTTATTGTAGCATTGTATTTATTGTGGCACACAATATAAACTGGTTAAAGTTAGTTTTCATGAATTGGTCACAAATTTATGATGTCCTTAGAGTAAAATTTTGAAATTGTCGCATGATAATATTAATATTGTAGAAGTTTAAGTAGGACTGGAAGGAGGCTCATTTGTCTTTATGTGATATTGCCTATTCATAGTTGTATGTTATTTCTGAGTTCAGAGCACTAGAAAAGATTATTTAAGAACATTTTTTTTTTCCTTTTAATCTCTGGATAAAAAATATTCAAGAGCATTTGGTAACAGATTTTTTTTTTTTTTTGGGTTAAATATGGCTATGCAGAACATGCCCCGTCCTAGAGGTGCAGATGCTGCTGGATTACTTCTTCGTGAGTTAGAACTCCACCCTCCGGCAGAAGAGTGGCATAGACGGAATATGTTTGGTGGACCTTGGTCGGATCCAGATGATATGGATTCTGCAAATGATGCACCTAAACTAGTTAGTTATGAAGATTCACTAGATTTCAGTTCACTGGAGAATTGCGACAATGGATCTCATGGGTTGTGGCCTAGGAAGCGAAGGATGTCCGAACGAGATGCAGCTTTTGGGCTGAACACTTCTGTGGGCTTGGGCGCGTATCTTGGTATAATGGGATCTCGAAGAGATGTTGTTACTGCCATGTGGAAGACTGGCCTAGAAGGGGTTTGGTACAAGGTTTGAAAATAGATCTTTTTAATATTTTTAAATTGTGTTTACTCCATTCATATATTCTTGTTGTAGAACCTTTAAATGCTTGTTATTGGGTGATTACTGATTAGTCGTTGGTTCTTGTTAAGAGTCTTGAAACAATTTTCAACTTGTGAATTCATTGAATCGGCTAGAAATTTTTGATTTGTCTCTGAACATTTTTAGAGGAAACTAATGGTGTAGTCCACCAAAACCTTTCAATTGGGTTCTCCAAGGATAAAGTATCTCACTCAGTTCAGCCTTGAAATAATTTTCTCCAGTCAAGATGGTTCCTTTGCTAAGAAAAGTTTCCCTAATCTGGACAGGATCCCACATGGCTGTTAATTCATGACCTACACTCGCATGGGTGTCATTTCCTCTTAAAATTGTGCCTTTTTAACTGTCAGTTGGCCTTGTGAAAATTTCCAAAATGGATGTCTGTCTAAACTCTCCATCTGTACTGTCTTCCTTCCCCTCCTCCTTACCCGCTCATACCCACCAAACGTCTCCTTTCCCCTGCCTTTACACTTTGTATATTGTCCCACAACAGTGCATCACTTTTCCTTTATATAACCCCACCAATAACTTAAAACTGCCAACTGAGTCCTGACCCAAATGTTGGTATTGATTAGTCATGACTGTATAAAGCAAAATTTATGTCATACGCTATAAGTAGTCAAAGACTCTGGTTCATTCTTCTATCTGTCCTTGACTACCTGCCCGGAGAAAGTTCTTATATTCTGTGCTGTGTCTTGACTTCTTTGTGGTGCAGTGCATAAGATGTCTGCGGCAGACTTCTGCCTTTGCTTCACCTGGTGCTGCCAACCCCCCTAACCAAAATGATCGAGAAATGTGGTGGATCAGCCGCTGGGCCTATGGCTGCCCCATGTGTGGTGGAACATGGGTTCGAGTTGTATAGCTAAGTGGAGGTTTGTGGCATTGCGTGCATTCGCTGCCCATACACTAAATGCAGAAGATTTGCTGACCGCAATTGTACAGAAGAGAGATGTTGGAAATCGTGACATCTGAATTTGATTTCAATAGCTTCTCTGCGTATCACCTTGTAGGATTCTATTTAAAAGAAAATAATCCTGATCTTTATCTTTTGATTTTGGGACTTTTGGCAACGTCCCACCAAAGCATTTGGTTTCCATGGTGTTTGAAGGCTCACAGCAAGGTACGTATTGATTCATACGCACTCATTACTCCTTAAAAATCGCCTAGAGTCCATTGCATGTGTTTAGAAACCCTGTTAATGGATTAGCAATTTATTGATATATCATTGTTTGAGAGTCTTATTTTCCCTTTATCTTACAGCCAAGAGTTTTTTATTGTAGCAAACATCTATCTTCACTTTTCAGTGTATACATTTTTAAAATAGAGGGGCTGCCATGTGTGGGCAAGTCCTTCCATTGGCCATATTGCTTTTACTTCTGATTTTGACTTTCACACCATGTAAGGCTTTTGGAGAAATTTTCTTTTTCTTGATAGTGTTATTACCAGTTTTTCCCATATATGAAATTGTAATGGTGATTATTGTAGTTTTAGATACAAGTTTGCATTCAAGATCCCATCAAATCTCTTGAATGTTGAAACTGCTATATGATAATTGAATTCCTCAGATTCCTGAGATACTTTCCTTGGGATTTTTTTTTTTTAAATTTACCTGGAGCATTTATCGTAATTTTGTAGGCAAAGAGCCATAATATGACACGGGAAATATGGTATGGGTTATTCATGTGACAAGTGATGGTTCTTGTAAGAATTAAGAACCCTTGTGTATTTGCTTGTTTCAGGGATCTTCGCAGACAGTACTATTGTTGATGTGGTTGCTGCTGGTGGATCTAAGATCAGGAACCTGTATTAGGTGTCTTTGTTGATCCCATGCAAAAATGATAGTACTATGGGGGAGTTCATAGAAAAATATCCGGTTGGTCAGTGACGTGTAACATATAGATAATAGTCACTTAAGTAAACACCATAGCAGAAAAATAGCTGTGGCTCCTTATTTGGAGAACTTTAATGTTATGATCTTAAATTAACCACCAGATGACTGTAAAAGCTTTCTGATTTTGGACATGACAAGGACTTAATCTCCCACGTGGCCTTGTATTTAAAAAAAAAAAAAAAAAGCTGTGGCTGCGTGTGCTGCTAAAAGTGGTATTGTAATTGATAGAGTAGATGGGCATTTTACTGGCTCCGTCTTTCTTGGTTTAAACATGTAACAATGTGTTTATATGATGGTGTAGGTCATGACGAGGAGACGCGATAGTGGTATTTTAAAAAGCTCTTGCATTAATTTCCTGGCTCATTGAAAGTACAGTTAATGGTTACCTTTTTTCTTTTAACGGTGCTACAGCAGAGTTACTGGAAACAACTTTTAAAGTCTTAATTCAAGTTCAAGAGAGAACCAGAGTCAACATTTAGGACGAGAAATGTATTTCATGCGCATGAATCATGATGTACCAAATAGACCATTTGAGCTAGCTAGCTTTGAAATATTAAAAAAAAAGAAGAAAGAAGGCACCCTGGTTTACGAGTGGGCTGATGAAAATCTATTCCTACTTTTCAAATTAAATTTAAAAGGGGGGGGGGGGTGGGGAGGCTAACTGTTAATGTGATCTAGACTTGATGAGAATGTGATTTTTACATTACATTCTTTAGTGAAAGAGTAAAATATATTGCAAGAAGAGTGATCTGAATTAATGGCATAAATCAAAGTGATCTGAATTAATACTGAATCCAATATCAGTTTTATGATTTAGGGCTTGGCAGCTGGTATGCGTCGCACGACTACATTTTATAAGTAAATTCACTATTACAGATAATTTATTTCACATAAATCTACTAAAACATTTAAATTTAAACTCCATATTTAAGCAATAATATATATAATTAAATTAAATTCCTTTTACCAGCTCCATTATCCATTGGTGGTGGGAACTTTTGTTCTTACAAATTGGTTAAGGTTAGATTCACTGGAGGAGTTACATTGTGGTGGAGATGGGCAAATGCATCCCCTCACTTTGAGAAAAATTATAAGATATATTAATTTTATAACATTGCATTTTTACTTTTGATATTTTGCATCTCCTAAATTAAATAAAAAATATTTAAGTTCAAAAACTTATTATACATGTAATATTAAAAAAATAATTTTTATTTTAAAATAATTAATTTTTAAATTAAATTATCTCACCTCTAGGTCTGACTTTGCTATTGGTTTGATTCCCAACTTTTACAAGCTAGTTGAAGGTTTTATTTTGATCTAAAAAATTCATTTTGTTGTTTATTATCCTAAACGTACTTTGACAAAAAGAAGAACAAGAAGATAAATACAATAAATTAATTATCAATAGTTTTATTATAGATTAATATTAATGTAATAAAATATAAAGCAAGTCGCATCATTTATTTAAAGTTAAATAATAATAATAATAATAATACCGTTAGTATCAGCTGTCAAATTTTCGCAAAATCCTTTCCTATTTAAACGAAAATAGAAACGAACCGGCGCGTTTAGCATCATCGAGTTCCGGATCTCCAATTTCCTGTTTTACGGTGTCGAGCTGAAGCGGTCTCAGGAGCAAGAAAAAACTCAGCTAACGAACTTGAATTTGCTGTTCCTTCACTTGGAATACGATTCCAATCGAGGAGGGGAGACAGAGAGTGAGAGATGAGTCAAGGATCTCATTCCTTGGCGTTTCGGGTCATGAGGCTGTGCAGGCCTTCTGTCCACGCAGATCCGCCCCTCCTACTCGACCCCGCCGATCTCCTCATCGGCGAGGACCTCTTGGATGACCCTATCGCCGCCGACAGTGTGCCTCGTCTTATCGGCAGCGATACGCATGTTGCTGATCATGGCAGTTCTGATCCCAACTATTGCGGCAGGTTCCTTCTTCATCATTCCTTCGATGCTATGGGACTCTCTGGCCTCCTAGTGCTCCCACAGTCTTTCGGGTATCGCATTCATTTCTCTTACTCTTCGTTAATTTTGAACTTTTTTATTCACTTGATTGGTGAAACAATCAATCTGGGGTGCTGCAGTGCCATTTATCTGGGAGAGACTTTCTGTAGTTACATTAGTATTAACAATAGCTCCAATTTCGAAGTCAGAGATGTTATCATCAAGGTAGGTTATGCTATCTTTTCTACATCACACATTTATGTGGAAAAAGTTCTAAATCAGTTATGATTGATTATATCATCTTTTGTGAATGGAGACTGATATTTCAAAGAAATGTTGCTAAATTGAAGTAGTCTTCGATATAATAGAAACAATGACAGATTCTGGCATTGTGCTATAGCAGATTCAACGCAAAGAAGATACTGTTTAACCTTAATGCTTATCTGCTAGCTAACTGTTTGCGAATGCGAAGTTGGCACTCCTGTTTATTTAACCCAATTTTTTATTAATTATAATTTATGATGGATGAGGAATGGTTTTCTTGCTTTCTGGGTTATTCATTCTTGATCGCTGAAAATGTGAATGAAAGGTGCTGCTGTATGGAGTGGTACACTTGAAATAGTAGAACATCACCTACCAGGGGATTAATAATGCACTCTTAAGAATCTCTTGATGCAAATATGTACAAAAGAAAATCAATGGTTTTAAAGGAAGGAAATGAGCAGCCTCCTTTAGGGACCGAAGTTCACTGCAGATAATCCTTTGGGTTGAGCCTTTGCGCATTCTTGAGATTCCAAGCATGCGACTGTGCTTCGACCAGTCATTTTGGAGTTCCTTGCTACCACATTGAAGAGCATTTCTTCCACCTTTAGATACTCCTGAAACTGTGCACTGGATTTTTTTTCTATCCCCTTTTTGGTTTATTCGTGCTGTACAAGAAGCTGAATTAGAGAATCCTTTAGCTTCATCTCATCTAAACTGTTTGAGTTTTTCCTTAAACAAATTTACCCTTTTGAGTTATTCAAAAGCTTGTTTATTGTAGGCTGAGATTCAAACAGAGAGGCAGAGAATACTTCTTTTAGATACATCCAAATCACCAGTTGAGTCAATACGTTCTGGTGGGCGTTATGATTTTATTGTGGAACATGATGTAAAAGAACTTGGACCTCACACGTAAGTGGTATCACACTACATGTAGATTTGGATGCTAGCATGTAATTGTGTGGGACAATGCTATTCTTTTTATTTTCTTTTGGGTTTGTTAATTTGACAATACACTCATCCTTAGGCTGGTCTGCACTGCATTGTACAATGATGGTGATGGTGAGCGTAAATATTTACCCCAGTTTTTCAAGTTCATTGTTGCTAATCCCCTTTCGGTTAGGACCAAGGTATCACTCTCTTTCCTTGTAAATCCAATTCTGACAATACTTATGAATGGGAATGATATTATCTTCACAATTTAAAGTGCATTTCATATTGTTACTTATTATTTTCTTGTCGAAAACTTTTTGCAGGTCCGTGTTGTCAAGGTATGTGAGGATTCGACTAAATTCATTGTACACAAAGAAGTTAGGGTTTCTAGGGCAATTAAAATGCAGAGGAAAGAACCTTATATTGAAGGTTTATTGGGCATATACCTGCTCATGGGCAAGACTTGGGTCAAAGCTCTATAGGTTTTCTAGGTGTTGGGCTTAAGCTCATGCATATTTAAATTCTTGCCCTGCAATGTGACCATCTGTAATTTATGTTTCCAAGATTTTTCTCAGGAAACTACTTTTTTGGAAGCTTGTATTGAAAACCATACAAAATCAAACCTTTTCATGGACCAAGTTGATTTTGAACCTGCTCAGCATTGGAGTGCAACAATACTTAAAGGTGATGAGCACCATTCTGAGAAAGAGCGTTCAGCAAGGTCTGCAGTGTATGCCATTTATAATTAAGCATCTAAAATTGCACAAATTGAAAGGATTGGCTATTAATTTTACCCAAAGTTTTTTTCCCCCTCCAGTGTAAACTGTAAGCTTCAATGTGTGAATTCTCACCATCAATCATGATGTGAACTAATTTTGTAGGGATACATTTAAGCCACCAATATTAATCAGATCTAGTGGTGGAATTCACAATTATCTTTATCAATTAAAAATGTCTTCATCTGGTTCTGCATCAACTAAAGTTGAAGGAAGTAATGTTCTTGGCAAACTCCAGATAACATGGAGAACAAATATGGGTGAACCTGGTCGCCTACAGACACAGCAGATACTGGGGACTGTAAGTACTTTTCCTTCTGTAATGATGTTCTATTAATTCATAAGTTATTCAAATTATTCATGCCAACTTGTTAAAAGGTAGTGGCAGGACTTCATCATTTTCTGGAAAACATCTCATCTGAATTGTGTGTGTGTGTGTGTTGTGTGTCATGGGGCCTAAGGTAGACAAGCGTTGCATTCAATTTTCTGAATTAAGACCTTTTGGTTTTCACATGCACCAACTTTTATTGCAAGCATGTAACATACGACTTGCATATGCACTCCAGATGGATGAATGTCTTATTGTCAGGATGGATTTATTTGCAGCCTTATACAAAGAAGGAGATTGAGTTGCAAATTATGGACATGTCGTCTACTGTTAGCCTTCAAACACCCTTTGTGGTAATCTGTACTCCACTGGTCTACCCTTTATGTTACTTATATTATCTATTTCATCTGGTACATTCTTTATTCTAATCAGCAGTTGTGGGTACTTATTGTCATACTATGATATATTCTCTTAGGGATAGGTCTGGTTTAATTCATTCTTATTTGATAGTGAGATAGAACAGCTAAAAAATAAATTTAGAAACTAAAACGTTGATTACCTGTTGCTTGCAGCTAAAACTGAGTCTTACAAACCATACAGACAGAGAGCTGGGCCCATTTGAAGTTTGGTTATCCAAAAATGGTTTGCATGGGGGTAAAGCGGTTATGATTAATGGCCTTCAATCAATGGTAATGAAGTTGTGTGGATTCCATCGGCTTCTCTGTGTGTTCTATCCTGGATTGTCCACATATACCTTTTTCTGGTCCATGGTTAAAGCTTAAATATCCTGTATGCATATCTTTATTAATGTCATTGCAAATATATCATAAATCGCTTACTTCATGAGAAAGATATATATATATATATATACATATCTCATATTGACCTCCAAAAACATGTGAGCTCAATGAAAATTTTCAGAAAGTTAGTAAATTTGTCATTATAATATGAATCTTGGTTCAATATATAAGTTTTTGTGAATGTTGGTTGAAATTAACATCGATTTGCTAATTTGAAGCATATGTGCAGGTCTTATCACAAGTTGAGGCATCGGGCTCCATAAATTTCACACTGGTATGTGAAATTTTACAGCTGTGCTGCTATTAGGTCTCAGATACTTGTGGTAGTGGATACTTTTGAGTAACTATGCAGCTCTTCCCTGGATTCTCTTGATAGAACAATAAGTGCCACTTTTTTTTTCCTTGTCATTAATTAAGAACTTAGTTATATGGTGATCAGGGTATATCATCCTAATATTTTTGTTGTGGCTATCATGATGTCAATAAGTAATGGTCTATTTTTTTTTTTTTTTGGGTGGGGGGTTGGGGTTTAAAAAGAAGCTCAAGCACCACCTGTAAATGCAGTTTCCAGTTCTAATATTACAATTGGTAGTTTTTGTCCATAAATTATCTATTTAAACATCTAAACTTTCAAGTTGTAAAAGTGAATACACAGTAATGGTTGCATCTTAGAGCATATTAGAATGAGGCGTATTTGTTGTTTGATAATTTAAGAACTTTGTTTCTTACGCAGAATCTCATTGCTACTAAACCTGGAATCCAGAGAATCACAGGCATTACAGTGTTTGACACAAGGGAGAAGAAATCATACGAACCTTTGCCAGATGTTGAGGTTCGTTCTTGTAGGCATAGATTCTGTATCATTAACAACCCAGCAGATGCAGTGCTTCTTTGCCTACAAATTTCCTTTGAGATCTTATTTGATGATTTACTGCATTGCCTTTGTCATATAAATCCCCAACGTTACATCATTCTGACCGACGACGTGCTGCAGATTTTTGTGGAAATGGATTGAACTTCTTGGTTAGTACAACCAACTTGGCCTGAAGAAGCAAGCTAGTATTACGTAGAGCTTACAAGTTGACTAAGCTGATGATTTAACGATACCGGAAATGGGCTTCCCTGAAGAGTAATTGGTCTGCTTATCTTTCGTAAAGGTGGGTCTTCTGAATAAATTCTCGGAAGTTGACACTAGACGCTGCCGTCTTTTCTGAGGATTGATCTGGTTCTTTCCACTAGTCATGGTTTACATTGTTAATGGCTTTAAATCAGGTTAATTAAGTACCCACAAAGTCTAGCTTGGTAATTCTGATGCCTCTATGCTTAGATTCTGAGTCAAGTCCAATGTATCTTGTGTGCCCCCAAAGTATTTCTAGAACTTCACAGGTTAAATGCTAAGTTCTGTAATTTATTGGAGCAGCTGGTGTTTGTCACTGAGGAGGCACAGAACTCGATTTTGTTGGATATAGGGTATTTGTTATCATTGAACTTTACTTTTCCCTTGGTGTATGTGTACATCACAATCGTTTTTACACTGAAATTAAAGCTGAACTACATTATGGGCAAAAAGAGAGAGAGAAAAAAAATGTTCAACTGTACAAGTGATATCTCTCAAGTGAAGTGTCGCTTGTTCTATTTGCTTTGCATCAAGGCCGCGTGAATTTATTAAGCGTGATGCTATTTGCAGACTGAATGACAAAAAACTTGCACATGAAATATATATAATGGCAAATAAATCGGAATCATAATTGAGTATCTTGTGTAATTGGACTACAAGTGGTGCCTATAACAAGGTGTATAGAAATTAGTGCACACCTAGTTATTTATCCTTCTGAGTTTCTCAATCAGAAGTGGCTTCTTGTTAACTTTGACTAAACAATTTGCAATGAACAGGAGGAATGGCACAACAATATTTGAGTTCTTATTTGTGTCATGTGTTACTCACATCACCTGAACCTGGCTCCACCGAGTCAAGCTGTATTTTGTTATATCTTCTGTGCGTCATGATCAGCATTCGCTTTTCCTTGTGAAGTTGCATTTACAGGATTCCAATTACCATGTCACTTTAACTTAGCCTTAGGAGGAAAGAGCAGGGTGTGAGAGTTTTTTTTTTTTTTTTTTTGGGGGGGGGGGGCGTTAATATTCAATAGGTCAAGTCTATATCACTTGAGCAGTGAAAGGGTACCGTTTTTTCCGTAAGAAATAAGCTTATTTTTAATTTTTTTTCAGTTAATTTCAATGAAAAACATTAAGGAGAATGACAAAGAGGTCCTAGTTTCAAAAAGACTAATTAATTAAAATTAAATTTTAAGTTTCAGATTTTAAAAATTTGTAATTCAATTTTTCAATTGTGCTATAATGAATTTACAACTTATTTTTAAAATTTTAACATGATTGAAAAATAAAAAATTTTATTTATTCTGTTAAAATTTAAAATACAAGATACAAATTCATCACAATAAAATTACAAAAATTTAAAAATTGAGTTATAAATTCTTAAAATTTAATACTTAAGACCTAACTTAAATTAATTAATCATATCTCTGTCATCCTTCCACAGCACTTTAAGAACAACACTCAGTTTATTTATTTTTTATTTATTTATTTATTTATCTTTTCTTTTGTTTTTTTTTTTTGCCAATGGACAAAATTCAAAGTTGAAATTTTATTATATTCGAGTGGCGAAGGATAAAGCCAGATCAGATCACATTAAGCACGAATATATTTACATGCAAAAAAGAAAGGCAAATCTCAACTCAAGACATCAAATCAAACGTCCCAATGGGCTCTTTTTTGTCACTTTTCCCCCCTCTTATTCTAAATGGAACAAATAAACATTCGAGTGCTTGATAAAATTAGTCAAGCTTGTGAACCCCAAGTGCCCCAATTAGCTTCACTTCCAACACGAGGCATCACAGGAACCCTTGTCTGCGAATCAACATTGAAGTTGGCCCCACACATTATCCCCTCACTATCAATCCTAGGCATTGCCTTCATCTTCATTCTCGGATGCTCAAAGCTTCTTAGACCATGCTCACTGTGAAACATACACCCTGCAATTTCACCAAAATTAAATCATCAAATTTCAGATCAAATACCACAGTTTAATTTTAAAACAAAGACAGAAATTTGCATACCAGTGGGGAATGGTGCATAAGATTTAGCACAACTTGCTTTGATAAGATCCAAGTCTTCAGAAATAATTACAGAACCATCAGCTGCAAAACCCCAGAAGAGTCCAATCCGTTCATTAGAACCCTGCTCAGCAAAATCAGAAATATGTTAGTAGAAGGATTAAAACAACCTTGCACTGTACAAAATCAGAATGAGACTCAAGGATTTTCTTTACCAGGGCAACAAAAAGAGCTTTGTACTTTTGATCGTAGATCACAAATCCAAAACTGCCTTCAAGCTCCTTGAGAACCTGATCAGCTGGGTACGGACCTCTGTCACGAAGTGTCCTGTAAGCCTCTATGATGAACATGGCCTCATTGGTTCCTTTTGATAGGCCATACTGCTTGATGAGGCTGCTCAAATTGTCCAAACTTCCCAAGAAAATGCAGTACATGTCATCCAAACCACAGAACATCCTGTGACAATATTTGCATCATCAGCTTGTTTTTAACTCGGTAATGACTGATAATAAGCCTATTACATAATCTGGTTTTAGATTTACAGATCCAATTAACTTCAAATGCACAGATCAAATAGGGAAATGGCCAAATTGGGGTGTTACTTCGGATGCACTCAATCCAGAAAGTAATTTACCAAATAGGGCCCTCAAGTAAGATCTGATTCATCAGATGCAGTAATGCACATTATCTCAAGGTAATTTTAGCCACATGGGATCACTTCCAAGAAATCTAATTTTCCATATGGGATCATTTCAAAACTTGTGCAGGTAACCCACATTGTCACATACCTGTTTGGAGAGGAAGGGGAATAAGCTAACAAAGCATCCATTCCAAAGCTCATGGAGAAAGCGGAGGTAGGGTTAGAGGAAATAAAATGGTTCAAGATATCATGAGAAAGCTTTGGCTTTGTGGCTGAATTCACAGAAGCAGGGCTTTTCAGCTCCTGTGGTGGGTTCACCAAACTCTCCTTGAAAATCCCCAACATGGTTGCTTCAACCTCTGGGTTGGCTCCTTGTTCTTGTTCTTCTTCTTCAGATGCCACCAATAATCTCGCCTTCTTTTCACCAAAAAAAGAATACACCTTTAACAAGAAATGCACCAGTATCAGTACACCAATTAGCTGCACTAAGACCATGAAATCTCCAAGTGTTTACCAGCTAATCTATATGTGCGTGTGAATGGTATATGCACAATAAGAACACAATGTTTCAAAAAATTGAAATATGAGAGAGAGAGAGAGATACCAGAATGAAACTGAGAATCAAATAGCAAAAGCGAAGAGACGAAGGAATGAAAGTAGGCAGTGAAAACGGAGGATGATGTTAGAAATGGTCGCTGGAGGGATAAATATATAGAGATCTCAGATCAGAGAGACGGGCTCGCCAATGAAGGGATCGTCTCTTGACTCAGACTCCTACAGAGTGTGTTGGCTGTTTGCTGCGTGTGTGTTGACGTGGAGGGTTTATCCTAAACAAAAAACAAAAGGCGCGTACAAGGAAGGAAGAGGAATGTATGGTCATGTGAGGCTCACGTGATGTGCTGACGTGGAGGTAGTTGGTGCGTGGGGTAACGGGTAAATGGTCAGGAGGTTGTAATTGAAGCATAAGAAATATCGCCCGATCTTATCCACAATACGATGATCTGAGTCAGCAAATTGTTGTTCTGTCGGTTTCCACCAAAAAGCGCGTTTCTCACTTTTCTTTTCTATTTCCACCGTCTCAACATTTTTGGAAATATTTGAGTATTTTAAAATATAAAATATTTTAATAGAATTAAAATTTTATCAATAATATTTTTTAAATATGACTTTTCATATAATTTTTAATATTATTTTATAAATAAAATATTAAATGACGGTAATTTTTAAAATTTATATTTTTATTTAAAAAATTATAAAATATATTTAATAAGTTTTAGTAATATTTATAATTTTATTTAAAAATATATTATAAATTAAGATAAAGGAAGTACACTCATGTTCAAAATTCAAATGATTTTGAAAATTTTATTTTTTTAAAAAAATTGTTTTATAATTTAGGGTTAAAGGATATTTTTATCCTTAACTATGTAAGCAGGAGCATTTGGTATTCTAAAATTTTATATTGTGCAATTTCCCATATCAACAATGATATATTAGTTACTTTATTATTAAAAAAGTTAACTTTAATCATTATTTGATTTAAAATTTTTTAGAAAAGGACCTTATAGATTATGAAAAAGGATTTAAAAAATTACAACTAAATACTCTATAAATAAATTAATATCGATTAAGTCTTTTTTGAGGTCTTGTCTGTTATTTTTGGATATTTTTTTAGAATTTTTTCAGTCAACAAACAATTAAAATTAACTATTTTTTAATGGTAGGGTATCATTCAATGTACCATTTTCAAAAGTTGAAGGAAAAATTACACCATATAAAAATTTAGGATATTGGAAGCTCCTATATAAATAGTTGATAGGTAAAAATACTATTTAACCCTATAATTTAATGCTCTCACTTTGTATAAAAATTTTAGTTGAGTCCTTTAATTTTGATAAAGTATTTTCAGTTTTTTAACCATAATAATTTTAATTTCAAATTATGATTTCTTGTGATAATTATTTTTTTTAAAAAAAACAAACTTATGAAAAGTTTTAAAATTTTATCTGTTTTTAAATATAGAGTAAAGATATAATAGTAGCTAATTTTTTCCATTAATATGACCCCTCCTTAATTGCATCAAGTTATGATTTTTAGACACACTTAGTGGAGGGAAAAAATTAGAAAGTCAAATATGTTTTACAAGTTTAAGAATACTCCTTCTAATCCTATTTATAAGTCACTTTCAATATGTTTCACCATAATAAAAAAAATTTTAAATCTCATTAACTTTATCTTAAAATTTAACAAGTTTTTACCTTTATTTCTAATAAATATTTTTAAATCTCATTACTGATATTTTTATTCAAAGCATTTAATGAGGGCAAAATTGTAAAGAGTGACATTAAAAATTGACAAGTTCTCTATCAATAAGATCAAATTTCTTCTTCTCTCTTTACCTTATAAATAAGACCAGAGGAATATTAATTATCATTTATTAAGAATTATAAATTTCATTAATTTTGTCATATAATTACGATTAGAAGGAGTTAATAAATATTTAAAAATATTTTATCAATATTTAATAATTCAATGTCTGCTTTTTTGCTAATAAAATTACTAGGGTTAAGGTTAGAAAATTTAAAAAAAATTAATAAAATTAAACAACTAAAATTAGACACTGTGTGAAGGTAAATTAATAAAAAATGTACTTTTAGCCCATATGTCATCCTTTGATTGTCAAATGTATATTCGTGTTATCTCTCTCTCTGTTTTTTTTTTTTTTGGGTCAAAATTATTCAATTGGGTAGATATAAAAGTGCCAGTCTTTTCATCCTCTAAATGGATAAGAATCTTCCATCAGAAAATGGATAGAAATCTTGAAATAGAAATTTACGTGAAGTGTGAAATATAAATTGAATTTGAATTTTTTAAAGTTGTTAAAGAATAAGTATTTTCTATAAAAGAGAAATAGAAAAAAAATAATTTTTACATCTGAGATCGCATATCAATGATCGTGTGTTTGTGCACGGAATTTTTATTTTATTTTATTATATTAATTTTTGTCAATTAATTCATAATCTTACCAATTATTCGCTTATTTGTCAAGTAATAATATAATGTATATTTGAATTGTCCAAAACAAATCTTGTTATTTTCTATTTATTTTATAAGTTGATAGTAAGGGTACCGATAAGTGATACTCCATTTTACAATAGTATTTTGCATCATTTAAAATAAAAAATATTACTCCAATTTTTAATCCAAAAAATAAAAAGATTTGGATTGTCTTAGTCTTATCCAGACATTTCAAAATAAGATATGCACTTGATAGTTAACACATTTTTTTCTAAAGTAGATCCTGTTTCATATAATGATGGTATTGGCTACTGGCCAGAAAAATATTGATGAACTGGTCAGCAAGCAACACATCCTTACATACATCTACATGTGATTTTAAGGTTATGTTTGGGTAAGAGTTAAACTGAGATCAAATCTCAGTTTGGGCCTTCAAAGCTCTTTATTTTAACACCAAAGTTTTAAAAGCTGATTGAAAAGCCTAAAAGAATATTTAGAAAAAAAAATTATTTCTATTTACATGGAAGCTGAAAATAGGAGCTTTTGGCTTCAAGCCTTCAGCTTTTAATTTTTTTTAAATATTCAACTATAAACCATGTGGTTTTTTTTTTTAATACAGGCCATTGGAAACTATGCAGATAAAATTATTTTATATCTTAGCATATGAAATTTCTTGAGCGGCTCTATAAAAAGTACAGTGATTAGATTGGCATTTAACATAAATCACATTATAGTCATTAACTTTTAACGTAATTTCAATTTGTAAACCTCAACTTATTCTAAATTCAATGTTGGAACTTCTAATCCAAACACCCTAAATTACTTGTCGTTAAGTAAAAAGTCTTGGGTGTTTAATTCTTTATATGATCCTTGTAGTTAAGTTAAGAAAAATTCTAATTGTGGACCCCCCCCATGTGCTCATAAGTCATCAAAACGAGCCCAAGTTCACGCCGCTTATCGCTGTTCTGTTTTTCTTTATCATTTATGAGACCGTAGGGATTCATGTGCTGATGAAGTTTTTAAAAACACACACAATCTGTGAATCTTGTGTGCGTGTGTTGGAGATTGAAATCGGAATATATGACTCTTTGGTTCCGATACGCTTCCTCGTTGTAACAACTTAAGATTCAATTTTGTTTTTAGTACAAGGAATAGTCCACCGATAATAGAACTTAGGGGGGACCTTTCAAAAATATAAGGGTCAATACAGAATGTTTATTGTTAAAATAATAATAAAAACTTAAGTTTTTTTAAAATAGTGAATTGTTATTAATTTTTATTTGTGAATAATTTTCTTAAGAGATTTTTGAATACAATTCTCCTTAAAGATTATCTCCTTCAATATATTAAAAGTAAAATATAAAACTAAAATTACTACAAACACAAACACTGAAATTCAAATCTCAAATCACTTATTTAAATAATAAAAACCACTGTCATTTACAGTAATTTTAATTGTTAATATTCAATAATAAACTAGAGGGGAAGTTTGTTTCAATTTTTTCAATTAAAAAAAATTAAAATGCATATTTATATTTTTAAGGGTTAAAGTGTAAATTTATTTTAAAGCCTTTTGTTTAAAAGCATTGGATATTCTAAATCTTTTGATGAAGCGTTTTCGCCCTGAAACTTTCAAAAAGCGGGCTCTTTTGCCCCGCCATTAAATCCATCATCAATTGACTATCAAAACTCAAGTTTGACCGTTAATAAGACACATGACATAAATCTTTTAAATTTTATCTCTTACAATCTAATATTTAAAATTTCAACCTCTTAAATATTGGTTCATATATTTTAAAAAATAAAATTATAAAAATTAAAAATTTTAATATTTATAATATTTGTAAAGATTAAAAAAATTTAATAATTTAAAATATTAGTAATAAATGTTAAAATATTTTTAATCTTTATAATTTTATTTTTTAAGATATAAAAATTAATATTTAAGAGACTAAAACTTTAGGGATTAAATTATAAAAGGTAAAATTTAGAAACTAATTTATAATCAAGTTAAAATTTTAAAAATTAAATTATAATGAGTTAAAATTTAAAATTGAGTTATAATTGAATTAAAATTATAAAGATTAAAAAATTAATTTTTTTAAAAAATAAAAAAATAAACCTACTTTATTTGTGTCAGCTATGATGCCGTTTCCTCTTCCTCTTCGGTCTTCATCACCATAACGGAAAAATTGTAGGAACCTTTCCCATTTTCCTGTGCTAAAAAACAAGAGCAATAGGTTCTCGCCGAAATCGCTCGATTAGCCTTGAATGTGTTCCAATAGAGGAGAGACAATGAGCTAATAGAAGCTTGAGCGCTTGATTCTTGTGGCTGGTCCGATGATAAGGAAGAGACGGCAAACTGATGAGGACAACGGTGAGATTGAACCGTCATCTTCAATCTCATTGATCTCGACCTGCGAGAATAGAAAGTTCCCCGTGAGAAGATGCGATTTCGAACACAGATCTACATTATTTTGAAATTAGTGAGAAATTTTGTTTTTAATCTTCAAATTTGGAAAGGTTGTTTTGAGTTTTGAATCTGGAAATGTTCTTGTTCGTTTTGAATTTGGAAATGTTCTTTCTTGTTCCTTTTTTTGAATCGGCAAATGAATCAGGCAAAAATCAAGTAGCATGGGTCGAACAAGAATGGGTTTAATCAATTGAGGGAGCTCTTTGCCTCTGGTTTTTCTCAAAGGTAGTATTAGAATTTTGAAAAGCGATCTAAACACTCATGAGGTTTTTAAATTTGGACATTCTCAATATTCAATTTCATTTTGTAACTTTTGCAAAAGATTGCACGATTATCGCTTAAATTTGGACAAATCTACTTCTTTGTTGTTAAGAGAAGGTCGACAGCAAAGGTTTGTGGGTGAGGGAGAATGGTCGCCGGCAAGTGAAGTGGGAGATGAAGCACACACCATGGAGGAAGAAGGATGAGAGATGGGTACATGGGGACAACACCGGTCATCTTTTGGTCCAATTTCTTTCTTTTTTTTGGGTTAAGTTAACCCAAAAACAAAGTAGGTTTAGGTTTTTTTTTTTATTAATAAATTATCCATCTCAACTTGTCATATGTCTTATTAACGGTCAAACTTGAGTTTTGATAATCAACTGCCAATGGATTTAACGACAGGGTAAAAACAGCACTTTTTTAAGAGTTTCAAAAAAATATTCCATTCAAAAGTTTAAAATATCTGGCACTTTTAAATAAAATTTTAAAATAAATTTACCTTTTAATTTTACTTTTATAAACAATCAGGGTTTAAATCTTTTTATTTTATTTTGAGAAGTTGCTAAGTAAATTTTAAAAATAATCAATTGTAATAAATGAAAAAAGTTATTCAAAAAATACCAAAAAATCTATAAAATATAAAAATCATTAATCATTAATCAATAATCATTTTTTCATGATTATATCCAAACGCAAAAATAACTTGAATTTTTATAAAGAAATTTAAACAAATTTTTTTAAAAAATAACAATCAATAACCTTTATATATTAAAAATTAATTGTTATAAGAATTCAAATGAATACTTATTAATTTAAGTAAATTTTTTATTAATAAATATCTATTTAAATTTTAATAACTCCTCATTTTAAATTGACAACAATTTATTTAAACTTATTTTTATTTAAATTTTAACAATACTTAATTTTTAATTGATATAAATTTCATACAAAGTTCTTAATTTCTATTTACTCATTTTAAAATTGCCTTATTTTTATATGTTTAAACAAATAGCCCACAGATAAACTATTATAGCCTATCGTTTGGATTATAGCATTATCGTTTCTTTGAATTGGCATTGGACGTAGTACAAGGTGTCAACTACATTCCCATATTGCACTTTGCACAGGCAAACACATCCATCAACTCAAATATGCTCTTTTCGAAATGAAACATTAGTGATAATCCAGTAACTACACTGCTCATAGTATGACTTGTGTTTGGAAACATAGCTACTTTACAACATTAGAGACAAACCTGTAAGTAATTACTTATACATCATCATACTGCGAGCTATGATATTTTTCTTCGGAGTAATAGAAGGCACTCACAACATTGCCTCCGAATTTCCTCCCATTCAGCGCATTTTTCGCAGTGAAACTTCCAGAACTATCGGAATATTCCAAGAACACCTGCAGGGAAAGCCAGCAACACAATCAAACAATTGTGGTGACTATTTCAAACTCATGAAAAGAAAAGAAAATATACTATAGTTACTAGCACCCTATTAGGGACCAGAACCTGATAGCAAGGTCCTCAAACGTGATATGAACTTAGAAAAATTCATGGCCCAGAAGGTAAAACATAATGCTTGTCATGCTAGCCACTGAAGGAACATCAAATCAAACGCATCAGATTTAGATACGATGCTATACCTTTCCAACACCCGGGGAAGCCTCTCCAATGCCATTTGGACGTGGGATAACCACATTTATCAAGGTCCCTATCCAATGCAACCATGCAAAGGAAAGTACATTAATCAGAAAATCAACAAACATGATGCAGCATAAACAATCTAACATTCAGCCCTTGGTCTTGCAGCAAAATAAATGATGAGCACTGTTGCTTCAAGGTAATTAGGTCATGACCATCATAGTTCACACTTCACATAACTAATTGACTCTCTCCCTCTCGCTATATATATGTATCATGATTTTAAAAGCTATTGGCAATGCAGTCTTTTGTTTTCTCATACTTATTTGGCTTCAAACGCTTCCTGAAATGCCAGAAGAGCATCGCATTGTCAATTTGCACATAAATTCTTTCCTTGGGTGCCAGTTGCCAGACATCTTGAAAAAAATCATAATCAAATATCAACAATTTTAAAGGTCGATGTCCAAAACGACACACAAGTACATTTCTCTCTTAAAAACAAACGTTTCCTTTTGGAGAATGATTTGAATAAATTTCTCCTAACGATGCTAGACACATTAGATCCAACAAGAAGTTGAATATTCCTACTAGCTCTCTGCCAGTCAGTAGTCACAAACTTTAAAAAATTACCACACCGTAATTTGAAAAATGTAGTCAGACAAACCAGGTTAAACGTTACCAGAGAATTTAACCATATCCGCCAAACCAACTCATAAAACAAGGTTAATGTCATGGCATAGCCTGTACCATTCAAAGCAGAAAACATAAAGTGACCAAAACAGGTGTCAGACAACATTCATACCAAATTTGCAGCATTCATCCCGCATGTCTTCCAATATTTCTTCATATTCTCCATCATCCCTCAGTTGATCAGCAGTAATGGCCTTTTTCAAGAAAACCGAAGCATAGGATTAAAGTCAATCACATTTGACTATTAACAGCCAAACATCAAAACAGGAAATGAAAGAAGGAAAAGGAAAACCTCAAATCCGGTATTCTGGGATAACAAATTCAGCAAACAGCAGAAAGCAAATTTACCTCTGTTAAGCATAAAACTTTGGTAGCATTTTCATCATGCTTGGTTAGTGCTCTTTCCACTCCTAGAATATTTACCCCGCCAGCCTCCAAGACTACTTTCTGTTAAAAGTCAAAAAATAAACAAACAATTAAGAACGCAAATAAGTTAAGTAAAGCATATAAAAACAAGTGCGCTTGCTTCACCTGCATGGCGATATGCTGTTGTGCCTGTGCAAAGATATGATCCTGTTCTGTTTTAGACTGTACACTGCCAAATAAGACCATTTCAACAAATCTTACCAATCGAAACCAACTTAAGAAAATCAGTAACCCTTCAGACAATTGGAGCAAAAAAATGTGACATGCATCAACAGAGATTTGAATCAGGAACTTGTCTATCATAATTTAACTTCCTCGTTTCATATTCATGTCAGGATAACCAGCAACACCCAAAAAAAACAAAAACAAAAAACAAAAAATACCAAAAGTATATCAAAAATACATGCCGTGGAACAAAGAATGAAGAAAGCATGAAACCAATGCACAGAAACTCAATAGCACAGTGGACTAGTCCACTCTCCATGTTTTCGCATTTTAGTTGTAAGAACTTCAAGAAAGAGAAATGTCAACTTCAACTTCTTTACCAAGGAGGTTTATAGGTGATGTGCCATCATGTACAACATATTCAAATAACACTGAGTCAATCCTCAAGACAAGGAAAGCCATTCTAGCCAAAGAGAAAAATTAATCACTTAAATACCATATCCTACAACTGATAGGTGCCATGACAAAGCTTTAAGTGATTAGAGAGTCAGCATAATAAGGGTTTTCCCCAAGCCTTCAGTTTCCTGTTTAATGGACCATCATTTGATGTAAGGTTTCATTATCTGATAAAAAGTGGGACTTCCTTTGATTCTCCACTTAAAAAGGAACCCACTGAGAACAACTATTCAGTGTATTATCAGGCTAATGAGTTCCATATCCCTTGCAACTTTCTTTCCTCTCAATCTAAATTCTCACTTCCATCCTACTTCAGGTGTCCCACTTCCATGTTCATAATCAAGTATTACTTGGCTTGATAACATACAAAAGATAGAAGTGAAAACTCTGCCAAAATAATCATACAATAAAACAAAATCAGGCAAGAGAAATAGCACGATTAACACTAATACCAGAATCATTCAATGAAAAGACCAACCAGACAGTGGCACGCCGAACAGTCAGTGTTTTGTCACCCATTTTAAGGCCATTCAATGAGGCACAAGCAATGTCCGTTACAGCTGGATCCTGCCAGGAATGTAGTCAGCAAATTAATTTAACAAGAAATATACCTGTTGTCTAATTACACCATACCGTGAACTATATAAATGCAAAACAATATATTTTGCAAGAACTACACACAAAATGATCGACAGATTTAACTCCTGCATTTTCCTCACCTGATAGAAGCAGAAACCATACCCTTTAGAATTTCCGGTGTCTTTATCTCTAACTAGATCAAAAGCTCTGAGAGGTCTGCAATAGGTCACAGGCCATTATTATATGACATGATGACATGATAGCGTGTTTATGTTTGCAAAACAAATCTATCTTCAAAATAAAAATGCATGATAACCGTACCCAAAAGATTGGAGCAAGTCTTTTATTTGTTCTTCAGTAAAGTAATATGGCAGCCCACCAACGAAGATGCGGTCAGGTCCCTCAGCTCCACCAATTGCACTGGCAACAAGGAAAAAAAAAATCAAATATTACAAAAAGCTGCTCAGAAAATGAAAGATAAACGTGGTCATCAAGTTACACTGCGTCCATACCCTGCAACAAGCCCAACAGCAGATAAGTTAAGGTTTGGACTTGGTTGGCTAGGACCTAGAGCAGCAGCTACTGCAGGATTATAGTCTGTGGGCCTACGAACCCGCACAGCAACTCCCTGAGATATCAAAAGGAGCATTAATCTAGCTTTCTTGTGCAAATGCTAAAATTCAAGAGACTACAAATACTTCATTTCTACATAGCACAGCCAAGCAATCAAATGTTTCCAAAATCAGCCAATATTGCCAGCAATTGGAAATACTTACCTCAAATATGATTCCATCTAATGCCATTGCATTGCTGGCTTCTTCAACAGTTCTCATCTCCACAAAGGCAAATTTCTTCTCATGATTAATGTAAACATTTACAACGGAATCACCTACAAGTCAAAACATTGAACAAGAAATGCTTAGCTAAAATATATTCAAGTATATGAATACAACAACAACAATAAACCTCATCCTACTATATGGGGTCAGCTATATAGATTATACGACACCAGTGTGCTTTATCATCTACCAAACTTTTAAAATATTATTAATTAAGAAGTCTCAATTAACAACTTCCAAAACTGTTCTTTTTTACCTTCCTCTACCCTGTTGACAAGGCTCAAAACTATTTGTTTCACCCTCCTCACAAGTGCCTCCTGTGATCTTCTTTAAACATGTCCAAATCATTTCAAACAATTTCCCACCATTTTTCCTTCAATAGGTGTGATGTTCACTTTTTTTCATATATACTCGTTTCTGATTTTATCTTCACATGTATGTTTGCACATCCCTCTCAACATTCTCATCTTCGCTACTCCAACTATATACTCCTACTGTCCCGTTAAAGCCCAACATTCACTTTTATATAATATTACTAGTCTTATAATAGTTTAATAAAACTTTCTTTTTAAATTCATTAGGTATTTTACGATCACAAATAACTCTTATAACCTTTCTACAATTAAACTACCCAACTTATATCCTATGTACAATTTCTCTACCAATTTCCCCATTATATTAAACAATAGCTCCCAAATATCTAAATTTTTCTATTTGAAGTATAATCCAATCACTCAATTTCACTTTCAAATTATTACTCATTGACCTTTTATCAAAATTACAATACAAATATTCCATCTTATTCTTACTTAGGCGAAAACCTTTTGACTCTAATGTCCTCCTTTATAACTTAAGTTTGTTATTAATATCTTCTCTTATTTCCCCAATAATAAATATATCATTTGTCAAAAGCATGTAGTTGAAAATTTCCTCTTAAATATGCTCAGTCAAAACATCCAAGACTAGGTCAAACACATAAAGACTCAAAAATGATCCCTAATGCAGTCCAATTTTTATAAGAAAGTCTTTTGTTTAGCCACCAAACATTCTCATACTAGTTGTTGCCCCCTCCTACATATCTTGAAAATTCTAATAGAGGCAACCCGAACACCCTTCTTTTTCAAAACTTTCCAAAGTATTTCTCTCAGTACATCATAAGCTTTTTTCAAATCAATGAATACCATATGTAAATCATTACCTTCATATTGATACTTTTTCATTAATTCCCTTAGTAGATATATCACTCCTGTAGTCATCCTACTTGGCATGAAACCAAACTGATTCTCAAAAATACCTGTATCCAATCCCTATCTATGCTCAATCACTCTTTCCCACAATTATCTTGTATGACTCATAAGTTTAATCCCTATGTAGTTAGCACAATTCTAAATATCCCTTTTATTTTTGTAAATTGAAACTAAGGTGTTTCTCCTCCAATCGTCAGGCATTTTCTTGGACTATAAGATCTCATTAAATAACTTAGTCAACCATCACACACCTTCTTCACCCAAACATTTGCACACTTCAATAGGGATATAATCAGGTCCATTAACTCTACCATTTTCCAGTTTCTTAATAGCTTTTGCCTCCTAATCGCATATCTTTCAATAGAATGACAAATTTTATTCTCTTTTAGGAATTCTCCAAGTTATTAGATGAACCTTGATGCATAATAAGGAACGAGAGGAAATAGAGGAAATAGAGAGAGAAAGAGACTAGAGAGGAAGATAGAAACAGGGAACTCAAGTCTATTATTTCCAGAACTGATTACAACAATCTTTTGGTGCCCTTTTATAGCCCATGCCTCACATCCTTAAGTAACTATCCTAACAACATATTATCCCTTTAACTAATATTATATATTTATTACATAACAAACCTCCACTATCATTGAAAAGTTTAAAAGTCTCCCATTTACTTTTAATATCACCACTTGTGACCAAAACATTTCTCACTTCATCTTTTATACACTTTACTAGTTCCAAATCTCTTGGTTTTCTCTCTATACTTTTAGCAATCTTATAAATTTTTCGTTCTCCATCTTTTGCCCTAAGACCATTATAAAACTCTTCAAATGATATAATAAGCAAATAAATAAAATAATATGCATATGGACCTGCACCGGCAGAATTCCCTCCAATAGCTACCATAACTTGACTGAAGAATGCTGCCACTGCCTGTATCAAAAATAAAAGAACCTCAGAGCGTGTCAAAAGCACATGTAAACAACTCTTAGATTAGCCAAATTGAAATGGAGTTCAGCTGTGTTCATCATGCAGCATGCATAATATAATATCCTATGTCCCATAGCATAATATCCTATGTCCTCCGCTCATATCTACAGCCAGGAATACTTGTAATAAACAAAGTCATGACATACAAACAGACGAACAATTACACAATTTTTCTCTTAAATCTCCCTTTCCATATCATTCATGACTCATGAATAGTCCAATTTGTTATACATATGATATATTGGTAAAGATTATGCTCATTGGTGATCATATGTAAATTTTTAATCATTATATTTCTTGAAAGGTTTAAGATTGCCAACACTTATTTCAAGAAGAGAGAGGAGCATCTCATCATTTACAAAAGTGGAGCCTCAAGGTCACAGATTGATTTTCTTTTGGTTAGGAACACAGATAGAAAACTTTGTAAAAATTGTAAGGTGATCCCCGGAGATGCTGTAACAACACAACATAGGGTCCTAGTCCTTGATGTGTGTATTATGAGTAAAATCCAAAAACGTCAACAAGTAGTAACACCAAGAATTAGGTGGTGGCAATTAAAAGGTGAGAAGCAAGATATTTTCAAGCGAAATCTTTTGGATAAAGGAATTTGGGATTCTCAGGGAAGTGCTAACATCATATGGGAGGATATGGCGAAAAAGATACGGGAGGTTGCAAAAGTAGTTTTGGGAGAATCGAAAGGTTCTGGTCCGAGAGATAAGGAGTCTTGGTGGTGGAATAATAGTGTACAGGACAAAATCAAGTATAAGAAGAACTGTTTTAAAGCCATACATTTGTGTAACAATGAGGAAAATTGGGAGAGGTACCGTATGGCTAAGAAGGAAATTAAGAAAGCTGTGGGTGAAGTTCGTTCTAAAGCTTTTGAAGAATTTTATAAGAACCTTGAGACGAAGGAAGGAGAGCAAAATATTATAAGATTGCCAAGAGTAGGGAAAGAAAATTAAGAGATCTAGAACAGGTAAGGTGTATTAAGAATGAAGAGGGAAGAATTTTAGTTACAAATGATGAAATTAAAAATAGATGGGAGACTTATTTTTCTAAACTTTTCAATGATGGAGAGGATTCATCTAGTAACTTGGAGGATTTAATAACTGGTAAAGGAGAACAAAATTTGTCATTCTATCGAATAATACGTGATAAGGAGGTAAAGGAAGCTCTTAAGAAAATGGCAAATGGTAGAGCCAACGGACCTGATTGTATATCTACCGAAGCGTGGAAATGTTTAGGTGAAGAAGGGGTGAGATGGTTGACTAAGTTATTTAATGTGATTTTACGGTCCAAGAAAATGCCTGATGAGTGGAGAAGTACATTAATTCCTATTTATAAAAATAAAGGAGATATTCAGAATTGTACTAACTATAGAGGGATTAAACTCATGAGCCACACAATGAAATTGTGGGAGAAAGTAATTGAGCACAGGTTGAGATTGGAGACAAGTATTTCTGAGAATCAATTTGGTTTTATGCAAGGTAGATCAACTACAGAGGCGATTTATCTACTAAGGAGATTAATGGAAAAGTATCATTGTAAAGATAAAGATCTACACATGATTTTTATTGATTTGGAAAAAGCTTATAACTGTATACCAAGAGAAGTGCTTTGGAAAGCGTTGGAAAAAAAGGGAGTACGAATTGCTTATATTAAAGCCATACAAGATATGTGGGGTAAAAACTAGTATAAGAACGCCTAGTGGTCAAACAAAGGATTTTCCTATAAAGATTGGACTACATCAGGGATCATCTCTGAGTCCTTATTTATTCAACTTGATTTTAAATGTTTTGACGGAACATATTCAAGAGGAAATCTCGAAATGTATGCTCTTCGCGGATGATATAGTTCTTATAGCAGAGACAAGAGAAGAGATTAATTGCAAACTTGAGTTATGGAGGAAGGCATTGAAGTCGAAAGGTTTTCGTCTGAGTAGAAGTAAGACGGAATATTTATATTGTAAATTTGGTAAAGGACTATTCGAAAATAATTTGGAAGTGAAATTGGGAGATCAAATTATACCTCAAGTGAAAAGGTTTAGATATTTGGGAACCATTATTCAAAATGATGGCGAAATCAGTAGAGATATTTCACATAGAATTCAAGCTGGGTGGTTTAATTGAAGAAAAGCTAAAGGAGTTACCTGTGACCGTAAGGTGCCTAATAAACTTAAAGGAAAGTTTTATCGCACTACTATCAGACCGACAATGTTATATAGTAGTGAATGCTGGGCTCTAACAGGACAGCAAGAGCATAAAGTTGGAGTAGCAGAGATGAGAATGTTACGATGGATGTGCGGACATACACGTAAAGATAAAATTCGAAATGAGCACATACGCGAAAAAGTGAGGGTGGCACCTATTGAGGAAAAAATGGTAGAAAATCGGTTGAGATGGTTTGGGCATGTACAAAGAAGACCAAGAGAGGCACCAGTGAGAAGAGTGGAACATATAACTTTGAGTCCGATTAAGAGAGGTAGAGGAATGCCTAAGAGAACACTCTTGGAAGTTGTTGAACGCGATCTCTTAATTAATAATATTCCTAAAAGCTTAATAAATGATAGAGCACAATGACGTCTTGCAATCCATGTAGCCGACCCCATCTAGTGGGATAAAGGCTTGTTGTTGTTGTTGTTGTATATTTCTTGAAAGGTAGAACCTTAGATCCTTAATCTTTTAACCCATTGATCAAGTTCAAATAAGATCTTGATCTTGACAACTTTGCCAATGATATTCTTGTCTTCATATCATTGCAAATAATCCTGCACTCTTTCAGGCAATATTTGAAAGGATCACAGGACATATACCAAGATTTTACAATTAGCATGACATAAAGTGAAGATTCTTTTCAATAAACAACTAATTTTTTCAAACCATTATGAAGAAGCTCTTGAGCTTGAGATTCTTTTTATCAATCTATATATCTTAAAAGGCATTTACCTCGTAAGAGTAAATGAAATAAATGCTTCCAAGAGCATCATCTTAAGGCAGGTAAAACAATATCGATAAGAACTGGAAGTAAATACTTGTCTGTCAGTCTAGCAAAAATATAATAGTTTTACTGTCTCATCAAGAGTTGGACCTTCTCTAAAGAAAGGTCAGCATGTCGTATTCAACTTGTTACCTTGCTTGATAACCCCATTATGTTGTCCCATTAGATGAATTGCCAAGTAAACTTAAACATTTTAGATATTACTGGGTGTTTAAGCTTGCAGTTACTCTAGTCTCACTTCTCAAAACCCTAAGTTCTAAAAATGACCTAATTTAATGACATATCATGGATTTAAATAAAACATGCCTTAAAGAACAGTATAGGACATGTGGAGGCTGTGAATTTTGGCCCCATATATAGGCAGGCTGGGCATCTCTCAGGTTGCTCACTTAAAACACTAGTTCTATGGACCAAAGGGTTACCAGGTACATGACTTGTGTGTTTTTGAATGGAACTCAGGAATCGTAAAACATGCCCCATTATACAATCCACAGTAATCACAAGAGAAACAAAATGAAGAAAGTGAAAGAACCTGCTCATTGGTCAATGGGGGAAGCCCACCAACATAAACTCGTCGTGCATGCCTTGTAGCCTGTTGAGACAACAGGAATTATAACAAACGTATATAAGCCTAACCACACTTACTGACACAAAAATATTAGGAGGTACACAACCTGCTGCATCATAGGTTGAACTGACATCAAGGAAAAAGCTCCCACCTGTGACAACTGATTAGTTTCATTTAGGAGAAGATGAAGATACTTTCGCAACACACATAATGAACCATCACCTGCGACATCCCAACTGAAGGCACATTTTGCAGAGTAACTGGATGAGTGATCCCCAGCATTTGCCCTGCACTATCAACTTTAAGAATACAATAAAGAAAAAATAAGTACTACAGAGAAATGTTGCATTGTTTCGTAGTTCATCACTAGATCAAACAATAAGGAGGCCTAAAAGAACCAATCTCATCACAACAAATGAAGCCAAAAGAAAATATATCATACCTAATACATAGCATCAAAATTATAAAAATTCAGAAATGAATTCAATCACTGCAGATGCTGGGATAATATGTCTACCAATTGGCAACTTTTGCCGGTTGAAGGTGAAAGGTCCAGCTACCAAAGGCATGGGCCGTCCATTGAATATGCTACAGGGTGTATGCTGATAGCGCATGCAGCCCAACATTGCCTTCTTACCCAACCATAAATATTATCCAGAAATACATAACCACACACAACAGCCAAACAACACAAGAATGGTTCTTAGTCTCATTGGTAGATTTTATTTAAAAAATGAACAGGAAATATCAACAATAACATGTCACAATTATTTTTGCAAAATGAAAATATGAACATTCATGCAAAATAATACAAAACAGGAATTCATAATTCATAAATATGATGAAATTACAAGATTAGGTACAGACCTGAAACAGCAGGTACTCCAGCAACAGTAGGTGGTGCCATGTCAAAGCCACTGATCCTTTTGCTACAAAGACAGTTAGAAGAACCAGAAGATATATAGGTTAACACTGCTTGAGAACAAATTAAAGACAGTACATTATAAAAAATTTCCTTAAATTAAAATTAGACTGTGTATTGACCCATTAAACAGCAAAACATGGGATCATGTAAACAGCAAAAATCAGATTAAATTGCTAAAAAATGGGAACAAAAATAGCTTATAAGCTAGAAATCAAATAGTCAGGGGAGTGATAAGACAACAATGCTTTAAAAATATGCACTGTCAAAGGTCGGCACAAACTTTATTCTTTGGTTCTCTAAAGGCACCGACCAACAGCTCCATTTCCTTCGTTTCCATCTCAACTATTAAGGATTTATAAATTACAAACATGAGCAGTGGCTGATAACCAACTCCTCCCCCCCCCCCCCCAAAAAAAAGGGGGGGGCAGCCCTCTCCTTTTTTTCTTGATAAAAAATTAAATAGAAAAAAGAGGCAATTCTAATTGCACTGCATAAGGTACATTGTGATCATGATTTAGCCAGTTCAAGAATTATCTTTAAAAACAAAAAAACTGCAAAAGAGATAACAGAAATACTTTTAATAAATGAATTTTTAAAATAAATAGGGGATTAACTGTGAAAATACCACTAAGTCAATTATTGGCTTCTAATTAACAAACATGAAATGTGATGCATGTACAGGCGATTAATAAGGAAATTAACAAGTAAAAGCAGTTCATTAGATAAGGCGACAGATGCAAGAGAACATAAGAGTCAACTAGTTAGATAGCTAGCTAGTTAGTTACTTTAAGTAGTTAAGATCCCAACTCACAATTGTAACCTCCAAGTATCCTTGCTGAATATAACTAAGGGAAACATACTTAAGGGAGACGGTAGAGGGAGTTGCTAAGTGAATAAAGATAGATGGAAGTTGCTAAGTGAATAAAGAATTGGCAGGTTAAACGCATTGCCAAAAGTTTGAATTCTCTAAGCACCAAAAGGCGTCTTCAATTTTACTAAAATTAGGTTGGGGAATAGTTGTACTAAAATAATAGGTTCAAAAAATCAAACATTTATAGATAGTCATAGCTCTTTTTCCCTTCTCAGTAAAATATAGACTTGATCAGGAAGATAATTCACATCCCATTAACAATAGGGACATAGAATAGTAAATCACCAGTACCTTTCTGAATGAGAAGGGGATCTGGAGCGAGACCTAGATTCCCTCTTGGATCTGTAACTTGATTGTCTTCCATATCTGTGCCTCATTTCTCCATCTCGAACATGATCTCGATGCCTGAAAAAGGAATAAGGTGTTCAATATATGAATGGATGCACAGAGATTATACTAAGAAAGGTGATAATCTGTGTAATTTGAAAAGACCTGTCATAATCACAGTTCTGATGACGATTATAACTTTCATAACTGCTTCTCCTTCTGAAGCCTCCGTTTTTAAAGTCCTTGTGATGTTGCACATGATCAGTTTTCCTCTCTCCATCTCGTTTTCTCATCCTTAGCCTTTCTTGATCAGATCCATGAGAATTGGGCTGAGGTAATTTACAAATTTCAAGTCATCAACCATGAAGAAGTGTACTATGTCTACAACTTCAAATTTAAAAAAAGAATGGAAAGAAGAGGGGACCAAAACAGAAAAAAGTCCCATCAAAGATTGCTATTCAGGTCACAAAATTGTTACTTGTATTAAATTTACTGCCAATGCCAGCTAAGCTGGCAATACTATTGATGTTATAGAAAAGAACAAAACTCAGTCAGAAGTAACTCAACTGCAGGCTCTAACACCCTTGAATCCTCTAGTCTAATCATGACGTGACACAAACATTTTCTGTAGCTTATATGTGATGCGCATACAACCTGCCCGATATAATAACTTGTCCATGCTAATTAATGTTCAAGAGGTAGGAACTAAGGTTGCAGAAGACAATAAAATTAACTGTCCTCCACAGTTTCTCAATTTCACTTTCCATCGTCAACTTCCTTCGGTTCTCGTTCAAAAATAAAATTTTCATTTCAATGTACAAATACAAACCCAGCATAGCCTTTCTATAATTAGACCATTGGCATTTTCAATTATGAGGATGACAAAAAGATGTCTTGGTATACAATTATAAACATTCAGTTTAAAAGCAGAGCAGTAAACCACAAAGGCACGGAGTAACTAGCTTAAACAATATATATATATATATATATATATATTATTGAAAACACATCAAGCAGTGTGTGTGTGTGTGTGTCTGGAGTTTAAAAACTGCTAGACCCCAATCTTTTGATCCGCTCGACATGATTTCTGAAACCCCCCTCCCCCGGGGTCGTTATCCAATTAACAGTCCCTAGATGTATAATGGTGGGAAAAATATTCTCCAGAAACCCATCCACACGCGAAACAATATCACTAATCTTTAATCATGCACAGCAAAGCAAAGCAACACAAGAAAAAAACCATGTCTCGAAAGAAATGAGGCCAGGCCAGCCCAAGTTGAAACATAATTTCCAACAAACCCCTTTAAAAAAAAATAAAGTTCGTGATTTATAAAAAAAAAAAGAGCACCTTGTCGCGGTGGCCCCTGTCAGGCTTTGAACCACGACGATCGTCATTTTTCAAAGAGGTTTGATTTTCAGCGTCAGACATTATAGCTCTGGAATCGGAAACCCTAACGAACCCTAATCCTCTCGTTGATATGAAGAATTAGCAGTTAACCGATTCCGCGTCAACAAGTCTCTGTTCCACCAAAATTCCGACCGCAAGAAAAATTCACACCACCAAATGGAAAAATCAGGGTGCATAAATAGGAATAGAATGATAGGCTTTTGGTTTCACAAGAAAGAAGGATTGGATTTTTTCTTTTGGAGAAAATCATAGAGAACCACTTGACAAAATTTATTGCCGCATAAACTAATTTTGATATTACTTGTATATCAAAGCACCTAAATTTAATTAAATTTTTTTAAAAAAATAAAACTACCTCTTTTATAAATATCTATGTATATATTAACAACTATCAAGACGATGAATCATAAAGAAAATTGAGAAAATATAAATCTAATTTGTATTAACTCTAAGCAACAAGTACAATATTTATAGACCTTATGAAGGTGAGTATACACATGTATAATAATCTTTCTAATTACAACAATAATTACTTTCCTAATAGAATAGTTTAACTCATTTTAATAGCCACTTTAAACTAAGGGTGGGTTAACAATTGACTCTAATAGCCTGGTCAACCAACATCAAACACCTTGAGCTTTGTCTTTAGAGTAGAGAATTGGGCTTGAGATAATGGCTTTATGAACACATCAGCTATCTGATCTATAAAGGATACAAAGTCAATTTTTATATGTTTTTGAAGAATTTTGTCACACATAAAGAACAAATCCAATTCCATGTGCTTACTTTTATGATGCAAGACAGGAATATGTGCTAATTGAACGACATTAGTATTGTATTATCACAAAAAATAAGAGGAATATAATGAAGAGATGGCATTTTTTGTTTTGTAAGAAGACTTTAAAGCCGAGTGAGCTCAACAATGACATTAGCTAAACTTCAACATTTAGCCTTAGTGCTTGATTGAGCAACAATAGGTTGTTTCTTTGCATGCCATGAAATCAAATTGCCATCAAGAAAAACGCAAGAGCCAAAGGTAGAGCGATGGTCATCTGAATCACTATCCCAATCAACATCACAAAAAGCTTCCAAACTAAGTAAGGGTTGTCAAGAAAAGAAAAGACCATGACCAATAATGGCTTTAAGATATTAGAGAATTCATTTTATTACTTACCAATGATTAACTTGAGGTGATTGCATGAACAGACAAACCTTATTGATGCTAAATGAAATTTATAGTCTAATGATGCTAACATATTAGAGGGCTCTAACACTATACAACTGTGGACTTGAAAATTCTATAAAATCTGTCTTACTATTTAGTAGTAGAAACCATAGGTGTCACAACACCTTTACAATGAAGCATGCTTGCTTATCTATAACATACTTCTTTTGAGAAAGTGAAATAACACTAATACCATGATTTTTCACCACAATACCCAAAAAATAATTGAGAGAGCCAAGATCTTTGAGAGCAAATTTTGAATTCAACCAAGTTTTGATATCAGTAATGAAGGAAGTTGAGTTTTTAGAGATCAAGATGTCATCAACATAACTAAGACATAGGTCAAATCAAATATTGAAGAATGAATGGATAAGGATGGATCACAGCAATCGACAACAAAACCATACTTGTGAAGTACAGAAGTAAGATGTTGAAACCAAGCACGTAGGGCTTGTTTGAGCCCATAAAGACTTTTATGCAACTTACAAACAAGGGTAGAATCAAAATCTTCAAAACCAAGAGGCTATCTTGTGTAAACTTCTTCCTCTAAGTGACTATTAAGAAAGGCATTATTCACATCACATCTACTTGACAAATAGACCAAGATTGAAACAATGCAAGAGTAGCTGGCTTGATGATTAGAGAAAAAAATATCAGCATAATCAAAAACCATAACCTATCACAGGATGATTGGAAGGTGAAGGGACAAGAGACCAATATTTGTTATGAACAAGGACTTGCTATTCATCAAGAATTGCTTGTTGCCATTTGCTATCTTAAAGTGCAATATATTGGTCAAAAGTAGGATCATCAAGAGAATTACAAGTAAAAGAGACTTTGGGTTTAAAAATATCATGTTTAGATCATGTAACAATAGGATGAGTGTTTGTGGGAGGAACAGAAACAAGGGGTGGAGAAGTAGTGGCAAAAAGAGAATGAGCAGAAGCAATAGTGGACATAGAAGAAGGTGCGACATAAGCAAAAGGCAAGGAGAATGAGGAAGAGGGAAGAAAGGGAGGAACAAAACAAAGGGAAGCTATGAAGAAAGAAGGAATAGAAGGAGTAATAAAAGTGTATGACTAGAAAAAGTAGAAGAATGAGAAGAGGAAAAAATTTTCATTAAATTGAACATCTTTAGCTACATAAATCCTTCTACTAAATGCAAGACATTTATAACCATGATGAGACAAGTTGTACCCTAAAAAGTACATTCCTCAAACTGAAAAATGCAATTTATGAGAAGAGTAAGGATGAAGAAAGGGGAAGCAAGCACAACCAAACACACAAGAAAGGTAGTCTAGTTGTTTATGAAAAAGCTTAGTGTAAGGAGCAATATTACCAATAGTAGAAGAAGGCAGAAGATTAGTGACAAAGGCTGCAGTGAAAAATTCATCTTTCTGATATTCTAAATGTAAATTAACATGAGCTAAGAGAACTAATCTAGTATCCACAATATAATGATGGCTTCTTTCAACAATGTCTAATTTATAGTGAGCATAAGGACAAGCATAGCAATGAATAATACCATATTGATTAAGATAAGAACCAAAAACTTAAAATACACCACTGCTATCAGTTTGTAAAGCCTTAAGTTTAATATTTAATTTATTTTCAACCACAACTTTAAATTGTAAAAAGGTAGAAAAAGCATCATACTTATGTTTTAAAGAATAAATCTAATACAAACGAGAGAAATGATCAACAAAATAATTATAATACAAAGAACCATGAATAGAAGAACAAGAGGTAGGGCCCTACAAATTAATAAAACAAGTTCCAAAGGTAAATTATCAACCGTGGTAGATGATGGTAAAACAAGTTTGTGTGATTTACCCACACAACAAGTTGAACAAAAAATAGAAAGAGGTTTATTGAATTTTTATAAATCATGAACGAGCTTACAACCCTTTAGCAAACTAGGAATCAAATTACTAGAAAAATGCACTAATTTGTGGTGCCACAAGTCAATAGTAGAGAACATAAAAGTAGTAAAAACACAAGATGAAGTGGAAGGAAATACAATGGAATAAGGTAAATAATGACTTCTAATATTTTAATGAATTTAATGGAGTTGAAAATCATATTGTGGAATTAATTAGCAAATTTATGATTTGATAAATGATTATTTGTGAAAATGTGTGTGGATATGTTTCAAAACAATTGTAAAAGTTATTGGATCAATTATGGAATTAAATTTGAGTTTTGTTCTTATAGGGAGGCCCAATTTATGAGCCTAAAGCTAGCAATTTTGAAGCCTACAAGAAATTAAATTCTGTCCAGTGATGTTGTAGCACCAATTTTGGATGTCACGATATTAGATCAATTTTCAACAAAACACATAACTTCATTTAAAATTGAGTTTTAAGGGTTTCTAACTATCATTTTTATTTCAATTTGTCTTTAACTAGTAGCTACATGTCTAGATAGCATTATAAGGTGGAGAAAGAGTTGGAGAAGCTTAAGGAACACTTGTAAAACATCCTTAAATTTTAATCTAGTTATTAAAGTTTGATTAAGACAGTTAAATGTATTAGTTATGTTGTGGCTAGAGAGGTCTAACGGGTATGTTTAATTATAATTTTATCCCTAAATATAGGCCTGAAGGAGAGTCGGGTTACTTGGAAGTGAAAAAGGAAAAAAATCATAAAGCCAAGGTTCTGTGCCACATGTCACAACATATGGAGGAGCTATTACAGTGCACGTGTGCTAATACGCCTGGGAAGATCTTCTCTGTGCCATGCACTATGGTGCAATATGCATCCGCCACCATGTATGGTCACTTTTTTATTAAAATATAGTTGCAAAATAAAGCAGAAGAGAGAAAAACAAAGAGATCTGAGAGAGAAACTAAAGAACTGTGTTAGGGCTTAAGGAATTTGAACATTGGGAGTACTTTAAAGTTAGAAAACATTTAAGGTAAGGTTTCAATCTTCCTACCTTCTTCCATTTTCTTGATATTGGGAGTTAAGATTTGGTTGAGAATGGTAATTTTCAATCTATATAGGCTATAGGTCTGAACCAATTGATTTAAATAAAGTTAATGGGAGTAAATTAAGCTAATGATACCTAGTATTTATTGTTTTATTATTATTGGTAGTTGGGGAGCATTTAATATGTGAGATTCAATCATAAATATGATGGTTGGGACAATATGGCTCTATTAACGACCACTAAAGAGTTCAATGATGTTAATGAGGGCTAGAGGAAGCTAAGAAACCCTATAGATGTTTTCATATGAGTAAAGAATAAATCTTAAGAATAAAAAAGTGTTGTGATATAGTGGATATTACCTGAAAATTGCAAATTGATGAATTAAATTGTGATTCATTGTAGAGTAAACTATTTTAGCACCATTAAAGCTTCTTGAAAGCTTTGGAAGTGAGTATTTGAGAAATAAAACTTTTGACCTCTCAAAGGTTTGAGGTCATTAGAAGAATTCTTTCTCATATTTTTGTGTTAATTAATTTAGTAATTGATATTTGATAATTAAACATGTGAAATTGAATTAAATGCAAGTGTGGTATAAATTACTTGATAATCTACTATATTGAGTCTTGCAAGTCCTATGATATGTCATATGCAAAATTATATGAAAACCTTGTGAGTAAATTTCTTGTAATATGATTTCAGGGAGTTCAATGAATTTGTGAAAAGTGAAGTTCCGTGACCATGTTAGAGTTCAACGATTATCTGCTAACTAAAGTTCAATGAATTCATGAATTGTGTGGTAGAATGACTATGTTAAAGTTTAATGATGTAATTTGATAGTAAAGTTCAATGATTTTGTGATATGAGAAGTTCAATAACTATGTGTGATTAGACTTTAATGATTGTGTTTAATGTGGAGTCCCATGAAAAATTATGAATATGTGAAACAAGAGTACAATGAAATGTCTTGAGCATACTGAGTAGTGAAAACTTGCATATTGTAAGTTATAGCATAAATATGCATTGCATGATCATGAAAGGTGGGAGTTCACTTAGGAAGAGGAGTAAAGAATTAAATCCACGTGGGAAGGCTTCCATCCAAGTTGATGGCT